TACTACTGAAAAGAACACTAGATCAATCATATTTGAACTAAAGCAAATGTGATATACTAAAGCCTTTGATTTTCCCTTCAAAATCACAACTTCAAATGTCTATAGAAAGAGAAAACATCTAACTTCTAATTCCATGAATTCATTGAGGTAGGCAATGCGTTCTTACTCCAAATTATATCCCCCTTTTCTCAAAACTCTACAATAGTATTGATTTGAACAGCTGGATTGAATGCAGTCCACCATGTCTGCAGGGAAATTTACTCCCCCAAGCATGTAATTCACACACATACTGTTTCCCTTATCACTTGTCAATGTGGTATACCATTGTTCAAAAGGCTTGGACAAATCTTCAAATAAGTGACCTCAAAAGATAAAAGCATTGTACGTGTATCTTTTTACTTTACTGCGTGTATCTTTTTTCTTAGGTTTCTTTGTGAAGATTTGGGTGGGTGTTATACCATGAATATACCTAAAAATTAAAAATTGTTGCTTGAAATTATAAATATGTATTATTACACCAGTGTGCATTATATGCTCGAAAACACGGTAATCTAAAACTCACTTTCTTCTTTGAGTAACGACACATATAGTTACTATTAAGTTTCTATTATTATGTTTTTAAAAGGTTCATGCTCTCCTCCTTTTAAAGGATTCATGGTCTTTTTTTTCCTCCTACATTTAAGAAATTTAATTGAAATCCCTTTGCAAAATTTCTCTTTTTCTTTTCTTTTCTTTTCTTTTCTTTTTTTTTTTTAAGATGTTTAAAAATAATCAAATTATGCATTCTTAGGGCTATTTTCAGGCCAAACTTCAGAGAAGTTTCTAGCTTAAAAAGCCTCCTACTGCTTTGCTATTGGGTTATGTGGGAGCTTAAAAAGCCTCCTACTGCTTTGTTATTGGGTTGTCTGGGAACTTGTGAGTAAGCATAACTACCTGATGTTTGTGTCTGTTGTTATGATTTTGAAATAAGGCTAAATAGAGTGAATTTTCTTATTTTTTATTAAATTACATCTAAATTTTAGAAATATCCTTTTCAAAGAAGCATGTGCACATTCCCCCATTCATATTTAACATTGATTGTTTTAATTAGGAATATTTTTTACTTTTTTAATACTTTTAATAATTTAATACTTTTTTTTTTATTGCAGTTAGAAAAGCATTGCAGTTTTTTTCCAAATTTCAAGTCTTTGGTGTGCTCCTTTAATTTCAAATTTTCTTTTAACACTACCAGAATATGTCAATTCATGTACCAGTTATTCAGGTTTTATAAATATCACTGTCCTGTTTTATGTGCACATTATGAATGTCACTTCTAAAAGTGGTCCCTCATTTTATTATCTAAGTAAAGTATTTGATTTCTTCCCTGCATTTATTAAAGCTTGGAGCTGGTTTATCATAAAAAGCCATATGGTTATTTTCTTCTTTTTAATTATGGTATAAATCTTTATCATCATGCTTTCTAGGTACTTGTTGAATCCGCATGCTTTGTATTTTTTAAAATTATTTTTAATTTCAAAATGCAGGCTACAGATACTTTCTGTATACAAAATCTAATGGCAGCTTTCTTGTATGGTATCAAGATGAGTGTTCTTAGGGATATTACGAAAACTTGGTGATTTTCTGTAGACTTCTTGCTGTGCGTAAAATTTGAAGTTTTCGTATATGTGTTTTAAAAGATTAAGATAATATTTTTTCCAATTTTTAGAAAGAATTTAAGGTTGCAATCTAGTTGACTTAGTTTATAAATGTTTATGAATGCTTTGTCTTTTAGATTTACTGTAACACGGAAGAATGTTAAACAGGAAATTTTATCAGTAAGAAAGTCTTTAGATAATCATGAACATATTTAAATTTATCCCCTTTAAGAAAGCATTTGTCTGGATGTCCTTTAAGAAGGATGTCATTAGATCTGTTATATACAGAGCAGTATAATTTGCAGTGAAATTCCGTAAGTTGAAAAGCACACAAGATCAGCAGGATTAGTATTTTTGAATACATACATACAGTTTGTCCACTTAGAGGGTTAAGGTAGTTTGAATCCATGCAAACAGTCTGGCTGCATTGTTGGTTTTCCCCATGATCAAATTATTTGAGTGCAACAAAGCATGCAAGGGGCTATCTGGAGAGGAGGAATGCCTTCATGTAGAACTTTCTAAGAAAAATTTGCTCATATTTACATTACATATGGAGCTTTCCACATGTGTAATATTAATATGATCCAATTTTTGTCAGAAAATCCTCCATGAAAGCATCTGTTCTCTAAGGCAAATAGCCTTTGTTGTTTTGCCTTATTCAAATAACATGTCTTACATGGTAATTTATGTATCATAACTAAATGTTTTGGGGAAATGGTTGTAAATGAAATTGATTAGCTAGCAGAACCTGATTTTGCCTTACCTAAGCATCTGTAGGATGAGCTGGAGGACTGGTTATGATTCAGGCCAAATCTTCCAAAAATGTATAGTTTTCATAATGCTACTTGAAAAATGAGATGAAATACATAATGCTGCTGTTTGCAAAAACTTAGTTGTACATCTTTAGAAAATAGAGGATATGATAGCAGCAAATGGAAATGTATTGTACTGACATAGTTGAGATTCAAATTATTTGTATTGATTCTGATCACTGTAGGGAGTGTAATGTACAGTTTTGTGAAAGTTGCTATGAGTTTATGAAAAACTTGTAGCTGCTGATGTATATATTGCTATCATTAAGAGCGGTTAATTATACATTAAATACATTTAGTGGTATTTTCATGAGTGGTACTCAAGCAATATTAATACATTTCAATATTTAACATACTTTTTATCTTAATAATGTGTGGATTCTTTTAGTCATTCCTTGTGTAAAGACTTTGCAGTTCCGTCATCTTTATCATAACCTCATTAGCTGTCAACTGTACCAATTTTACTAAAAGTTTACTACAGTTTTTCATTGCAGGTCTTGGTAGACCACCAGATCTCTCAGTTTTTAATTTTTAGGTCTTACTGCAGAAAATATTATCCATTAATAAATGAAATTTATTGAATTAATTAAACTTAAATTGTGCAAAATCCATTCCCCCTTCCTCGTGATTTTCAATGTTATTTTATTGTTAAATTTTATTTGATCTGACTTGCCATAATTTACTGCAAACATTTGAAGAACTTTTTATTATGCTTCAGTGGAAGTCTTATCAGTAGATATCTGTATTTAATTTTGCCTTGCATCAATAAATGCTACCTAAATTTATCCATACAGTATTTATTACATTAATTATTAGCTTTATTTCCATCTCATTTAAAAGTACTTTGATAAATAAAAGCTTTTCTTCCCTAATTGGCATTTTCTAAACAGCATAAAATTTAAAATACCTAAATAAATATTAATAAATTTTTTTACATCAGAATCATGTTGTATATGATTTATTAAGCTGAATCATGCATTATAAAGTGAATTTAAGTCAATTTCAAGTTTTTTTTAATCTCATCACCAAATAGCATGGTAATCTTCTAGCAACTCCAAGTTTGTCATACTTCAAGCTTGGCAGATATGCCATATTCTCTGGGAATTTATTTATCTCTGTTATTTCTTCCTGGATTTCATTTTGAAAACATTCTATATTCTTTCAATGGTATTCATAGCAGAATTGTTTCCAGCCCAAGCTAGTAACGGAAGCCCTTTAAGTAAAATAATTTTTCATATTGAAAAACTACACTTCCTCGAAGGAATTGTACATTAAGATGTCAAAAGAGATGTTTTTCCAAGATCTTGTATTTCTTAGAATTTATGCTCTCATTAATGTTGAGAGTAAGTTTTAAGTGAAGTCCATTTTGAAATAAAAATGAAACAAGTAAACTTTTTTCAAAAACACATTTATGTTCTGATTTTGCATTAAATTATCTATATTTCTGCTTGATTTTCTTTTCAATTTAAGCATGAGTTTCTAGACACCCACTTTATAGAACTCTACTGTTTGTGATGAAAGCCAGTTATTCACTGTAATTTTCATTTCTCTTTCGGTTTCTTGAACAATTTAACCCAATTTTGTACTTTATTGCAGTTTATTGCATTGTTACCTTACAGGTTACATACCTGCCAATGAATGTCTATTATTTTCATGTGTCTTGCTGTTAACAACCAGATGATTAACCATATCTCACAGTCATTGGAGTACTTTTTTTTTTTTTAATGTTTTAACCTCACACTATAAAACATGCAGATTGACTCCATAAATGCCATTCACTTTGGGTTCTGTGCAAAGAATGCTGGAGCCTGCATACACTGTCATTCTCACATACATTGCAAGTTTCAAACGGCATCCATTAACCAATCATACTCAAATAATCTACGTTTTTCAATGTGTCCAGTACTGTAAACATATATGCAGCTATAAATCATTGAAGATGGAAGGGTCTGCATTTTTTTTTATTTGCTTCCTATGAATATGTTTAACTCTGTTTTTTAGTATTAAATCTCATTAGAAAAAGACAACCTATTATGGCAAAACAGATCAAAAATCAAGTCGCTGAACACTAGTAATTTAGTCTGTGGTTTGAAACCCCAAGTACGTACTGGATGCATGGGCATTTTATTGGTTTTCCCCACGTGTAATGTGTATGCAAGCCAGTTTTCCTAAGGAAGTCCATCATGAGTGTACCTGAAGATTATGCTTTGCAGAGTATATATAAAAATTTAGATCTTTTATTTACTAAGCCCTCTTTGTTATGCAGTTGATGCCATAAATGCTGTGCCTTATTTTGAGAAACTTTGCAGTTGAAAATATCTGTCTTTTATCAGCACTTAAGGTTAAAGCTTGTAGTCACCTTTTTTCAAATATTCTGTGCATGCATACCTACATGCTCACATATACAAATACATTACTGGTTTTGTAAACTTTTCTGGTCTAGTGCATAGGTGATTTTGATTTGCAAGCATGTGTTATATTTTTCATATCCCCTTAGTGTTTTGTTCTTAGCATTGTATTATGATAGTAATGCAAATATTATTCTTTGTTTTAGTTCTGCTCTGATATCTGTGTTCCTGTAGTCATCTTTGATGATATTCCTACTAAACTAAGTCCATGTTCTGAGGTAGTAATTTTTATTTTATCATCTGTTTATGAAAGAAATCTCAAATGTTACATATGCCAAATTGTAAATTCACATCTGAAAAGGATACAAATTTTTATTTGAACTTTAAGATTTTATTAAAATAAAATTTGCCAGCATTTTATTAATTGTTTTGTGAATGTACAAAATTATACAGTTCATTTGTAGTTTTGCTTTGATAATAGGCATAGTATTTAAAAATAAAATCCTGTGACCTTCAGAAATTGCAGTTTTGTTTTTGTATTTTTAATATGAATAAAAAGATAATTTATCTGAAAAGCTATATCTACCTAATATTTCAGTAGATGATCTTCCAAGAGTGCCCCATCCCAACTAAGTTTCCCTTTCCAGGCTTCTTGTAACAGTAGTTTGGCAACAGCATTGCTGGACATGTAACATCAATGGGATTGTGCATGCCGTTGGTCCTGAACTAAATTTTTGTTCTGTCTTGTAGTTCTTGATTTGTGTAAACCGCATGTATAATTATGCTTTTAGAAAAGTGATAAAGCTACACGGACAACTTCCGGAGCTCCCATATTTTCTTCCTACTCTGTAATTTCAGTTTTCGGCAACTTTGGATGTAACATACTGGATTAATGAGGCTGCCCCATGAAACAAATACCAACATAGTACTAGGTTTCCAAAAGCCCCACACAAATTAATCCAGAGAGGTAGAATGGTGTAAAGTAGTAATGCAAACGTGAAAGATTTGATTAATTCATGTACACCACCAGCTTGGAATCATTCAAACCTAAAGCTCCCTCTTGTATTTTTTTTTTCGTTTCATTTTTTCCTCCAAGCACATTTGAGAATTTTTTTTCATGCAGTTGCTTTCCCATCTTTTTTGGGTACCAGTTGCAATTCCTAATGATATAAACACGAAACTCTATGTGATATTAAAACTTGCTGTTTTCTTTGTAAACTTAATGTTTTTTATCAACAAAAGAAAACAGAAGCTTCCAAGCATCCACTTAACAGTGTCAGGTAATGTTGCTGCAGCTTGGTACCAAACCAAAGCATTTTTTTCTGTATTTTTTGTATTGTGAAAGTCCTCAGCTTGTTGAACTTGACCTATCAGTGCCTTTGGAACGGAGAGTATAGTATCATTGAAAACAAATTGTCTTTTTATTGCAAACATTTTTTTTCAGAAGGAAATGGTCTTAAAGGTACTTAACCTCCACCAGGGTGTTAATATAACCAATAGAGAATGAATTCTCCGTGAACGGAGTCATGAGAAGGATGAAACCAGTGTCATGTTCCAATAGTTTTCAAGCATGTAAAACATATTCATTTTCTAGCTCCTTTTGTAACATCTCTGTCACCTCTTAGTAAAAAGCTCGCTTTCTGCAGGTCTTTAAGTTGAATTAAGGTCATTATTAGAGAGCTTTACCCTTAGGAAAAATCAAAAGGAATTTTGCAACATACGCAGAATAGCCTTTGTAGCCTCATTCTGTACCAAAAGTTCTATTTATTAAATCATTTATTACTGTATAAATCATTTCCTGCGGAGCAGTACAGCAGTTCTTCCTTGGCAAACACTTATCAAGGCAGTCTAAGACCCTTGAAGAGGATCCCCCTGTAAACAATGCAGTGCACTCGCTTTCTGCAGAATTTGCTTGAAAAGGGGATTCATTAGACCCTTTCTTCCAATTTGGACGAAGCAGAGTGTAATATTGTCCACATATTATTTTTATGTACTGAATGGTACTTCTACATGTTTTTACAATATGTCCTAACTTAAGACAAACCAAGCAACATTTTTTGTATATAACTTGGGATTTACTGTCATGATGGTCAGTTGTCATGATGGGAGCTTTCCTAGTCTTTACTAAAATGCGGATGATCACAAAAAATATATTTACCCTTTTCATATGTGAACGGTATAAGAGCTGAAGCATAAGGGATATTGTTTCTTGAAGTACCAACTTCCTTTTTAACCTTAACTTGAATTTTGAAACCTGATCAAGCCAAATTACCTCTTCATCTCATAAATTCTTGAAAACTGAGTCTAAAATCCCAAAAAAGGTTTAATATCACTTTTAAATGTCTTAACTTTCAATTTTGGTAACCGATATTGTCAGCTGCTTGGCGACTGAATAGATCTATCGTCAGAGTTTTTTTGTCTGAATAAAAGTACTGTTTTCCATAATTTTCATCTTTGCTGAAATCCTTAATGCACTCTTTCTTTTATTTTTCATTGCCCTCACCTAGTAATAATTCAGAAATTGCCTGTTGAGTACTTTCTAAGGGCTGGAATTTATCAGGTAACTGTGTATTCAATTTGCATTCTCTGGAAACATTCATTTTTGCGTTTATAATTTCTTTGGCAGTACCTTTTGTCTAATTCGTAAAATTGTAGGTAAAATTTTACTGTGTAACTTTAAAGCATCCATAACAAAACATGAAAGCTCATGAGAAACTAAAAAGCACAAATATTTAACGTCTAAATTCAAATTGCACCTTGCTAATTTTATAGTTATTCCAGGTTCTATCCTGTCGCAGATGTGAATTAATATATTTCACCTCCTCAAAAGAACTAACACATAAGTTTCTTATAGTCGTAAACTAAATGTTTTATTTCGTTCTAAAACACTTTTATTAACTTAGAAGGCTTAGACATTCTTGTTATTACAAGTTATGCTCAAAACATTTTTTCTGTGTTAAAACATGTCTCATTGTTATGGGTACGTATGAAATAAAACCCAATTCCAGAACCGATAACAACAAATATTTAAATGGCAACACCTCTTTTTTTTTTTTTTTTTTTTTTACAAAAGCAACCTCCTTCTGCTTGCAAAATGTTCAATATCCTCTTCCAACCCATTTCTTTTTTAATGTCCTTGTATAACTTTAAACCATTTTCTTTTAACACCTTGCTGTCAGTAGCTATTCTTTTACTATTCATACTTTCCAACCAAAAATGGCTTTTCCTTCTTTCTATGGCAGTAATTTTTGAAGCTTATAATGCAACAGAAAATTTAGCCTGAATTTTTTCCGTATTCATCAACATAGAACTGAAGATTCATTTTTACTATGAAACCTGGCAATTTTTACATGATTCCAATCACATCAAAAATTTAAATCTGTCACAAATGTGTAATTGGTATATATATTTTAACTAGAAAAATATTAGTTCTAAATAAAAATAATAATTAACCTAATAAACATTGCATGTTTGTTATAAAATTCTTTCAAGAAACGATGATTTTTTAATTGCTATATTTTACATTCACAAAATTCTGAATTGGTTGATACTATTAGCAGTGCATTTTATGTGTTTTGGGAGGGGCCATATAAAATTATCTGAAGCTTATTATGCTTTCTTTTACTAACCAATTTTTGAGTTTCTTCACACATATAAGCTAGACTAGAAAAATGTAGTGCAGGTAGTTACATTGTAATGCTTGGGTAACTATATTACTTTGTAAGAGGGTAGTTTTATTTGTGCAAAATTGCATACTGCTTATCTATAATAATTTCTTCACAATTTAATAAATATTTGTTCTATATTAAATCATAATATGCTATGTATAGTGCAGCATCAAAATCCTCCCAGTATACCCAATTTCTTTTATAAATCATTTGCCATTTACTTTTGGATGACCACGCATACTAGTTCTTTGCCAGGATTCTGTGCTATTTTTTTTTTTTTTTTTTTTTTTTTTTTTATTGTAGTCAGGATGATTTCCAAGGAAAACTCTGCTCAAATACTTAATGATGCTTCATAAAAATGGTGACCTTATCTTCCAGAAGTATAAAATGAGTAAAATAACTGTTTCAGCTACTAAATCTGTTCTGAATTTGTTATTAGGTGTTCTACCACCACCTTGTAAATTTCAAAAGATTGAAAACAGTTGATCCAAAAAATGCTAAAATATTTTTGTAGTATTTTAATCCCCCCTTTTTTTTATTGCTACTTGGTTGCTAGAAAGGTTTTGATCAACAATATTGACACTAATAATCATTTCGTTGTAATCTACAGCAGTCTTGGATCTCTATTCACTTATTTTATTTGGGTTGTGACTTCAGTTACTTCAGAATGAGGAAATAATGGTAACATTTCCTTTTTCCCCTCTTTCACTGTGAGGGTTTTTCTGCATCTAAATGAAACTACTTCAATGGATGTAAACTTTTTCTTGCATGTTCTTGGAAGTAATTCTTTTCATTTTTATCTGACATTTCTAATCACATTTATTTGATAACTTGGCATAATGTTGCATAATTCTGGCATGGTACCTTTTGTCAATGAAAGTACCATCTGTGTCATTACAACCTAAGAGCACATTGATAGGGTTTGAAATTTTTGCTGAAATAAAGTTCTGTTTGTTGTATGTATAATAAAAGATCATATATAACCAGTATTGGATAAGCACAGAATGTAAGGTTTTCATTTTGCTGCCAAAATAAACATTTTTTACAGCATCAAAGTTTCCTCTGGGTCAAGATATAGAATTCCATTTTTTCTCCTGCCATTTAGTTCTTTAAATTTTGACATGTATAAAATCCCCAGTGGCTTTGCATAATGATTAGTTTCTTTCACAGAAAGATTGAGTTCATTGTTTATAAACTTTTTACATTATTGTGAAACTGCTAGTACTAATCCCTAATCTGAAATTAAGGTCTTAAGTTTTATCTATTTATTATAACAAATTGCTTATTTTTTAATTATCTGTGTTGTTAATTATTAAATTATATTAGTTTAAGAATTGAATGCTTATTTTGTTGGTCATTCAGCAGTTTCATTTTTGAAACTATAGTGAATATTGTGTGCATTTTAGGAGGAACCTCAGAGAACACCAAAAGAAGAAACAGTTAATCCAGGCAGGTCAGAAGATGAAAATGAAATTGGTGAATTTTCTGCTGAAAACAACTGTGAAAATGAACAAAATAGTCTAAAGTGAATTTTTTAGACTGTGTTTCTAAGTACATTCTTTTGTTCTTGTTCCAACATCTGTTAAGTTTGGTATTATCTATGTTATACATGTATTAGAAGTTTCCGTTCTTCATTTGAACTTTTCATTTAAAACATGCTCGTAAGTGCATGTTAAGATTGTTCCTCTATTTGTACTTCTCCCCTTTATTTTCCTGTAGTTTTGTTTCTTAGTTATATAATTTGTGTTTTTTATGTAGCAGAATAAGTATGTAGTATTTTTTAAATAAATAATTTTTTGCATTTGTTTGATTATTTATTTTTTAATACAGTGTTGGTAAAGAATAAGAGAGATTATGTTCGAAGAATTTTAATCTATATGACAATTTTTAAAAAGCTAGTTTTTTTATGCAGTTTTGCATTAAACTCAGCTGTGTTTTGATTCCCCTAGGGAACTTTAAATAATCGATTTTAAGAGTGGTATATTGAATGAAACAAAAATAAGTGATAAGATTCAAGATTGAATGTTTATTGATTTCAAATATTTTTGTTATTGATTTCGAATGTGAAAATTAGATAAGCAGTCTGCCTACTTTAGGACCAAATTAATGTATTCATGCATTATCATATGAATTTTCACTGGCTATGCGAAAAGTGTTTGTAGTGCCTCTTACTATTGTATTAGCATCAAAAAATACTTATATGTTAACTTATAATACTTTTGGTACCCTATTGAGATTAAGACCCTGTGTGGCAAACTGTTTAACTGAGCTTTGGCAAATCCAGTTTAAAAAAAAAAAAATCTTGATATGTAAAAATGAAGAATTGTAATAATTGGACACATGCAAGGCTAAATAACATCTTACTCGATGTCATGCAATGAACGAAAGTTTTTAATTTAAAATGGGTGCTTAATATGCTGCATATTTTGATATCTGTTTCCTAAATTACAATTTCTGTATACAAAATTAAATAATTATTGCACTAAATTTCATTATTTAATCAAATGTCTTTCACTGTGTTTCAATAGAAGCCCTTTAAAATCTCGGGATACTCTAACAGATGTGAATATAATGCCACACAACTGAAATAACAAAAGCTGTACTTCATCATAACTAGTCCTTTCGCTGCATCAACAGCAAGGTCATTCCTCGCATTAGATCATTTGAGTCGTAAGAAAATAATCTTTCTGTTCTGCAGGGCATTGTATGTGGCACATGCCTATAAATTTGAAATTATTTTTAAATTACTATTTTTATATCAGTAAAATCCTTATTAATTACTTTAAATATACAGCTTTGCCTTGAAACATCAATTTTATTTAGAATCAAAAATATAAAACAAAGCAATTCTCATGCTATTGTGTCTTCTCTAATTCTGCCTATGCATACTGTTCATCTACCAGAATCATTAGCAATGCAATATGTTTTATACAGGCAAAGGAAAAAACCTTTTCCATCCTTTAATATTACAACATGAGAGATCTGATGAACTATTCTTTATCTGTATGCAGTCTTACTATCTCATGCTAGTGGAAGAAGTGAGTGTTCGCTGTTTAGCTCTAGGATTTTTAGTACAATTTATTATTAAGTTTTAGGTATTATTATCATGCATTTATTACAATGAAAAAAATGAGTTTTCCACTTCGAATTTTATATTATTCTGTATATTTAAGTGTAAAGTTGCTTATTTAAACTTGGCTTATTTTAAAGATATTTATTCTTAATTTCTGGGCTTCTTTCAGAGCTCCATATTATTTTATGCATAAAACCTGTAATATTAAGTGAAGCATCTGTTTTAGAAATTTGAAGCATGATTTTGAAACAAAGGGGTTTACTTCAACTGATATTTAGATTTCTCGCATGTTTTGAAAAATAAAAATTTCTTAAAAATTAGTGTATGTGTGTAGCAAACATAGCAGTATGCTACCAAACATATGCATAGCACACTGCAATGCATACAGAGCATACTGCATTCTGTAAAGGTCCCACTCCTGTACATCAGAGATGCAGTTTGATAATGCAAGCCAAGGTATTTCTTAGTGTTGTAGTGAACTTTTGGGGGATGTCTAGCCTTTTAGGTAAGTGTCTCCAACTGAATTTTTTTAAAAACTTCTTTCTGAACTGAAGCTCCTAAGCATTGAGTAAGGCATCAGGATTTACTTTATTCTTAGCCAGAAGCATTTGCGATATATTTGCATCTTTTCTTTATAGCAGTGTGGTCAGATTGCTATAATAAATGCTTCGGAGTCAGTGATGCATTGGCTACCTATGTCACTTTGAATTATGTTTCCTATACATGCTGTAATAAATGCTTTAGAAACTGATGCATTGGCTACCTGCTGTGTCACTTTCAGTTAAGTTTTCTATACACTCTAAGATGATTTTTCATCATGTGGCAAGATTTTAATTATGGGATGATCATACTAAACTGAGGTATTATTCACAAGTACTGGTAGAAGCTAGGTCAGCACCTCTGTTGTACCACAGGTGATTGAGGTATAACCTAGCTAACTTTTAAGCCTCTACCTTAATTTTGAGGGAGATCACCCTGGGGACAGCCTGATGATCTCCCGCACCTCTTCCTGTACCATTAATCTCTCAACGGGACTTTTGGCTCACCATGTACTTTAAGTGGTAGCAAAAACACTATATGCTTACATACATCCATGCCTTCTCCAAGTCCATCGGTTAAGCAGGCAGCATCACTGACCACTGTGCTGACTGGGCAGTGGATGTTATTCACAGTAAGTATAGGGGGAAATGCTCTCGTAATTATCTCTGCTAATCTGTGGATTTTCCTTTTGAGTTTTTTGTTAAACACAAGTGCCAGAATATTATTGGCGATCTTTATCTCTGATGCTTCTTTGAGAGCCACAATTACTTGTAATTGCATCTGCAATTTTCTGCTGTATGATGATGCATTCCTTCAATTCTGAAATAGTGGAAACTATTCTTTCAATATTGGTGATCTCCATCTTCCTCATCTCATAAATATTCATAGCTGCTACTTCTCAACTGACAACAGACGTTTCCGTTACTGCTTTCTGCTAGGATTCTTTCTTTCTGTGGAAAGGTAGGAATAGGTCAGCAAAGAAATTCTAAATTTTGACACCAGCTGTTGTGTGATAACACTTCAATGTAGATCTGAATAAGCAGGCCAGATTAAGAGGAACACTTGAGGAATATAAAACAAAACAATTCTCATGCTATTGTGTCTTCTCTAATTCTGCCTATGCATATTGTTCAGCTACCAGAATCATTAGCAATGCAATATGTTTTATACGGGCAAAGGTAGTGTGGTGTATTTAATTATGGCAAAGCACACTAGGGCTATCTGCCTAAGGGAAGGGATGCCTTCGTGGAGGACTTTCTAAGGGAAACTGGCTCGTATACACATTACACATGGGGAAAACCACGAAAACACCCATGCAGCCAGCCCGTTCGCGGGATTCGAACCTAGGACCGAACTACCAGTGTTCAGCGACTTTACTGCTCAGCCGCTGGTGGGCCTATACAGGCAAAGGAAAAAAAACTTTTTCCATTTTTTAATATCACAACATGAGAGATTTGATGAATTTTTTCCCTATAAAAAGGTAATATATAACCAGTATTGGATAAGCACAGAATGTAAGGTTTGATTCCAAGTCTTGCAGCTGGATCTACATTTGTGTCATAGCTGCTACTTCTCAACTGACAACAGACGTTTCCATTACTGCTTTCTGCTAGGATTCTTCACATAATAAAATAATAATACACATAATAAAACTTCTAATTCCATTATATTCTTCTATAGGCTTCGCATAATAAAACCCTGCTAAAGATAATTGCATCAGACTTGAAATATATCTCTTTAATCCATAATTAACACTATCATAGAATCATCATAAAAGTACCAAATCACTTATCACAAATTCATAACATTAAATGAGCGGTAAAGTCGCTGAACACTGGTAGTTCGGTCCGAGGTTCAAATCCCACGAACGGGCTGGCTGCATGGGTGTTTTCGTGGTTTTCCCCATGTGTAACGTGCATACGAGCCAGTTTCCCTTAGAAAGTCCTCCACGAAGGCATCCCTCCCCTTAGGCAGATAGCCCTCGTGTGCTTTGCCGTAATTAAATACACCAACACCATAACATTAAATTGAAAGGCCACAAAAGAATTACAGTCCAAGCTCACTTAACCAAGGCAGAATCTGCTGAGTGCTTGCATTTACCAAAACTGCAACATTATCTCCACCAGTGGATGAGTGGTTGAGACCTCTCCTTCATGGTTTTCTGTAAATATGTAAATGAGCCAGTAATCCTTACAAATTCTTCCACAAAGATATCCCTTCTTTTAGGGAGGTAGCTCGAATACTTTGGCTTATTTATGTAAAATGCCAATACTGAAATAAACTGATTTTGTGCAGCTTTCCACACCTCCTTTTATACTTTTGTTCAAGGGAAATGTTTTTCACTTTATATGATTATGGTTAATTATGCAAGGGCTATCTACCTAAAGCACTGTTTCCATTGGTGTGATGCAAACGTCTAACATCATTGAGAGAAGTTGGAAGACAGATGGCCATTTAACACTTCTGCATTAGGTTTGCACTTATGGATATTTGGTGATTAGTTGCATTTACTGTCAATAGATGTCTCTTTATTTGACTTGCAGGATTCAGACTTAAAATACTTAACTTTGGTTTTATTGGAAATTTTTTTTCTGCGTCAATTTCTTCAGTGTCACAGCTGGATAATTTAGAAATCTCGTTTAAATTTTGAAATGTGGTATCCTGATTTAGGTATGACTTATAAAATATTTTTAATTCATAAACTTTTTATAGGAAAAGTTATAAGCTTTATGTGTGTTTTTTAAGGAAAAATCTATGCATAATAAATTTTCTTAAGTATTTTGGCAATAATTTCAAAATACATTGTCTCCGATATAAATAAAACATCCCATGTACATTCACATAAAAGTTAAACGGAATCGTACAAAGTATGCTTTATATTCTTTGTTTTAACCCTCAAAATAAGTTCCGGAAAAATTAAAATAAGTATTTTTTTTTTTTTTTTTTTTTTTTTTTTTTTTAATCTTAATGTTTTAAGCCTTCAGATTTTAGATTTCGCCCAAAGGGGCGTTTTTAACGTTTTGTGTGCTGCCTTTATTAAATGTGTTCTTTGCACTTGAACCATAAAATTAAATTCAACAGCAATATCGCAAAATAATTTTCAAATGAACATATCTTGAGAATTTCCGATACACAGTCTCACGTGCTGCAGATAAAGATGGTTCCCCGCCGTACAGTATTGCCATTGCTCGTTTTGAAATCGTTGAGTTTATCAATAAAAAATTCATTAAAGTTTTACAAAATATGAAATAGATAATAAAACAAATCCAGATTCAAAATTTGATGGCCGTAGGTAGCATTTTATCACAATGCGAGAAACACTCTTAGACAAAAAACGATGCACCAAAAAGAAGATATCCGAATGGGACGAAAATCGGTAGAAGTGATGTACATGTACGGGAAAACAAATAATTACTGTTTGAGAAAAATTGGATGATTTATTGAAGTGATACGGCTTGACAAAGTGAAAAAGTCAGTAACGCGTTACGCGTTTGTCCACCTCTGGCCCTTATGCAAGCAGTTATTCGGCTTGGCGTCGATTGATAGAGGTTGCGGATGGCCTCCTGGGGGATATCGGGCCAAATTCAGTCCAACTGGCGCGTTAGATCGTCAATATCCCGAGCTGGTTGGAGGGCCCCGCCCATAATGCTCCAAACGTGCTCAATAGGAGAGAAATCCGGCGAGCTTCCTGCCCAGGGTAATGTTCGGCAAGCAGTAGAAACCTGTGCAGTGTGGGGGCGGGCATTATCTTGCTGAAATGTAAGCCCAGGGGGGCGTGACATTAAGGGCAACACAACGGGCCTTAGAACCTCGACGACGTACCGCTGTGCTGTAAGGTTGCGACGGATGACAACCAAAGGGGTCCTACTATGAAACGAAATAGCACCCCAGACTATCACTCCTGATTGTCGGCTTGTCTGCCGGAAGACAGGTTGGTACTCGCCTTCACTGGTCATCAGGGCTCAGTTCAAAGCGGGACTCATCACTGAAGACTTCTACTCCAGTCAGTGACATTCCAGTGCGAATGAGCCCGACACCTCTGCAAACGGGCTTGACGTTGTACAGAGGTCAATGGTAGTCGGCGCAAGGGGCTCTGTGACCTCAGCCCCCTTTCTGTGAGCCGTCTATGAATGGTCCTTGCGGTCACTGAAGCACTAGTTGCACATACGATCGATGATAATCATGCATCTGGGGCTGTGAGTGCCGCTCTGACGGTTGCTCGGTCTTCACTTTCAGTCGTTTCTGTAGGCCTACCGCTTCCTTCTTGATGCTGTGTGCGGCCATGGTTCACCCATTCCTGCCAACATCATCTAATAGTGGCATCGCTCCTGCTCAAATGTCGAACTATGCACCGATAAGCCCAACCAGCTTCTTTGAGCCCAACAACACAACCTCTCTCAAAATCTGACATCTGCACATATCGTTCGCGCACCTGTATGCGAGACATACATAGTTACTGTCTACCAGAGTACACGGAATGAAATTCCTGAAGAATTTATGACCTGGAATCATAAGTCCAGGTCAGCTGAGGGAGGAAGAAGTCTCGTTTTCGCCCGCTATTCAGTGCGGTGTTTAAAGGCCAAATGATTGACACCTCTTAGGGAGGTGTTAAAGCAAGTTACCGTCCCTTTTAATAGGGTTGAAAGAGCTATTGAAAGTAAAGAGTAAGTTGATTGACTTTAGATTAAATAAGCAGTCATACGCGACTATGAAGCTTCTTCTTCAAGAAACGAGAAAGGGGTTCCTCCGGTCAATGACCTAAGCATTCAAGACTCGAGAGGCGGGAAAGGAAAGGAACGAGAGGTAATTATTCACATGGGAATCTGTGTGAGCATACCTTGCCCGTTTGAATGGGTTAGCAGCATAATCCAGGTTGAGAACCGATCTCGGTCTCTTCCTGGATGTAGCGACTGCAGGATCATAAACAGGTAGCATATGCAGCACAGGATTCGCAACATGTTGAATATTGCCTAAGAACTAAGCAATGGAAATGACTTAAAAATTAAAACAATGACTATTTTAAATAACAACGGCTAAATTTAACAGTGCAAAAACAAGGCTTTCTTAAGTAATCAGTATCTGAAATAAATCCTCCACGTAGAACGGAAAACTCTCTTAAGAACATTCCTCAATTAAAATATTCACAATTTAACAAACTAAAAAGAAAAAAAAGCAATGAATTAAAAAAAATTAACTACCAACTCAAATTTAAGCGCTGAAAATCTAAACGTGAGGAATCTCTTTAAGAAGGGATATTCACAAATTAATTTTAAAATAAAAACCTAAATTAAATGAGAATTAATTAAAAGAGAAATGGATATTTAAACAATTGAAAATGAGCAATACAGTTTGAAAATTTTCCTTATAGCTAAGATATGTAATTAAAAAGACTAAGAATCGAATACAGTCTGTAACTCACGGAACCAACAGACAGTAAATTTCTGATAACGTCAGAGGTCATGTGAGCATGCGTAACGTCACAAAATCGCGTGATGTATGACGTCATATGCGAATTTTTTAGTCTTCTTTTGCTACATTTTAGTTGAAAAATTTCTGGCAACACTGTTCGGCGCGTCTCATTCCTCATTTTCAGTAGTTGAGTTTTCTTGCGCCTGGAAGCGATTCTTTCCAATGGGGACTTTTGCAATATTTGGCGAAAATCTAATCCTTTTTTTCCGTCTTCGGCAGGTTGAGATTCTTTTTCGGCGGCTTGGGATTGTTTTGCAGCACGAAGCTTCTTGCTCACTTGACTGAGGTACACAGGCTTTTCACAGAATATTTCAGAAATGGCTTCAACTCCATGTTCTTTGATTATTTCCATCACTTCGTCCCATTGTCCTTTTTCCTTCTCGTCTTCCGCACTGAAACAAGCAAACTTCTCTTTTTTGAGTTGGACTTCACTTTAGCTGGCTTTCTCCCTTTACTTTTCTTGGGTATTGCCTGGCTTTTCAGGAACTCCTCTCGTCTCGATTTCATCGCTGTTTCAGAGTCCGGATAATCACTAATAGCATCGTTATCATAGAGGCTTCTGAAAAGGACATATTTTGCGTGAAACCCCAAGGTAACACTTACAGCAAGATTTTTACAAAGTCAGAAAAACCAGAGCTACTTGCAACATGTTTAACTGCTATTTGCCCGAATATGATGAAACAAATTGAATGAATGTAATGCAGTTGGAACATACAGCTGAGAAAGTTGCGCTCAGGATGGAAAAAGAGTTCGGGATTCGAACTCACGATCCCAGAGGTCAAGCTATACTGCTACCTTTACAGCTATGCTATCGTAACCCAGGAGCATTCTATTGAAATTTAGCCTACATAGACTACTAAGTAAACGAGTTTTTAAACTAAACTTTTTGGTTGAATTTCAGGGTAGATGCAGTTATCTTCCTTTTTTCTGGTTTTTAGAAAACTAAGTCGATCGCTGTCTATTTCATTACTCAGATTTCTTGCTAATAATATCTATATTTTTTAATTCGGAAACAAGTTCTTTTTACCAAAACATTCTTTCCTTGATCTGGCGTCCATCGCTGCTTCAGCGCCATTATTTTTTGTTGACGTCCGCTGATTGTGTCTCTTTTACCACGTGACTGCAATGCTTCCACAGAAACACGGATACATGCTGAACATGTTTCAACTCCATGCGGACCGTCTTCAGTCACCGCATCACAGATATCAATTAAATTCAGTTCGTTCGCTGATTGGGGAACCGCATACGGAATGCGTTCATACCACAATAACGGAAACAGGCTTTAAAGGGAGAGACTCCTTCGTGGTAGACGTTCCGAGGGAAACTGGCTCTTATCTACGTTACACATGAGAAAAACACCCATGCAGCCAACCGCTCGCTGGGATTCGAACCCCGGACCGAACTGCCAGTGTTCAGTGACAATACCGTACGTCGGCTCATGGATGAAGAGAAATGGACGTACTAGAATCTGGAAAAATTGTTCCACGGAGGCTCTAAGTTCACAATAACCATTTCTCTAACCTTCCAAACTTTTGCCGGAATTCGCTGCTTGTTATCCACATTATACAGAATTTAATATACTTAAAGAAATAAATGAATTAGACACCCAGAAATCAGTTACTAGGAATAAATTAGAAATATTACCCATAGTTATCACAGAAAGAATTATATGGCATAAAATAAATAAATATAAAACTAATATGCAAGCAGCTATCAACAAAGATTTGAAAAACTGGGCAACAATGTATATTAGCAGTGCTCTATTATAAAAAATACCTCTAAAGTACGTTTCATTGCATGCATGTGTAATCAATCAATCATATTAGTTCTGATGTCTGTCAAAATTTTTAAAGAACTGATTACATAATTCCGCGGTGGAGCGATCAAACATTTGCGTACTCTGTTATGAAATAATCATTTCTGTAAATTTTGAATTAATTTTTTAATGCGACTTTCTGATTTTAAGAATCGCTGCAGAATCGTTCCCATGAAGTCCTAATGTCCTTACGTTACCACTGTTTTCACAACTATTGGTCATAGACTTGTGTCTCCAGTTATAAAAATGTTTTAAATGACGCAAATACTCATGTTTTGGTATTTTAAAATTTAAAAAAAAAAAAAAAAAAAAAAAAAAAAAAAAACAGTTTTATAAAAATTGCGAAATCTAACTTTATACGACACTGAGATCTCTAACTACAATCTGGAATATATTATACTCATTATAAACCAAAATTGAAAAGCAAAAAATTTGACTCACATGCGATAAAATTTGAGACAATTAAGCTCATTAATACACAGCAAAATGTTTTAATTTCAGAGCAGTTTTTCCACTTTTGTAAGAATTTGCTTCATTCCTTATTCGCTCATAAGCTTGTACTGATTGCTTCCAGAAATTGTACAGACCAGAATTTAATGCACCTGTAACTGGTATAACAAGGCAAGTTGATTACAGCAAAGTGCGTTTTTCAATTTCAGGCAAATTCAGCTAAAATAAAAGAGGGAAAAAAATTCTTTTATTATGATCAATATCTAAAAATACAGACATTTTCTTTGTAAATATTTGTATTTGTCCTTTTCCGTAATTTATTACATTTATATACAGGATACAAAACAAGTCCGTCGCACTTCTTTGTGTTTCGGAATGAATGGTACCATACTGTATACATCAGATGTACCCTCAGCGAAGGGGATATTCTGGTTGGAATAAAAACTATTGCCCAGCGCTGCTCAGTGTATTTCATCGGCCAATTCAAAATTTCTGCTTTTCTCTCTTTCGCTGTAATCATTTGTAGGGGGATGCATTATTACCACAGCAAAGCATTAAACAGTCCCGAGTAGTTAATTGCTTTATCTGATTATGGCAAAGCGTGCAATAACTATCTGCTGAAGAGCGATGTCTTCGTGAGCGACTTTCTAGGGGATATTGGCTCATAACCATAAGGAGAAAACCACGAAAACTTTCATACAGCCAACCCCGTTCACCTGGAATCAAACCTAAGATTGAACTACCAGTGTTCGGCGACTTTACCGCTCTGCCGCTAGCCGGCCTCTGAGGGGTTAAAGAGCGCTCAATACTGATAGTTCGACCTGGGTGCGAACTCAGGAGAATGGGATGGTTGCATGTTTGGTTTTCACGGTTTTTCCCCATGTATAACGCGAATACGAGCCCAGTTCCATTACAATGCTCTCCACGAAGACACCTCTCCCCTTAGCATATAGTCCTTGTGTGCTCTGCCATGTTCAAGTAATTTAACATCTTCTACCTAATATGAATATCGAATGATAGTGTTTCATGTGAGTCGGAAATGACATCACGTATTTCGCAGTCATTGTTTAGTTTGTTCTTTACCTTATATCTGTCTTGGCATAAAAATGAGAGCTTAGAAATTTATATCTTTATAACAGATTTATCTAACGTAGGAAAGTCTCATTGTCTTGCAACCAAGTCCTGCTTATGCCAGTTGTAACTGTTATGCCACAATGAGAACTCACCTACAGACGAATAGCGTAACCATGTTTTTTTGATTTTAGAAGGTATAAACATCCAGATCTTTAAGTGACTCTGGGAGACCTAACCTGGGATAAGCTTAAACCAATGGAAGCCAACACAAAGAGACAAGTATTAAGAATTTCATCGCGAGATGCAGATTTTGAACAACCTCAGTATTCATAGGCTACATGGTTTGTTACTTTAAAATAGACATTCTAGGATCATTTCAGTCTGTCCGGCTTCACTCGTGACCATAGTAACGACAGCTGTGACAGATGTCCGCAGCTACTGAGCTCATTTCATTTCCATTCCCTATGTTTCGCTTCGTGTAAAGCTCAAGACTGAGGCTGACTTGAGGTCTCAGATGAGGTGAAGAAAATAGGAGTTGTGCCATGATGAAGAAGACACGTGTTATGATTGCAAATGGGTAAGGTTTTTGGACAAGATGAAGAAGACACGCGTTATGATTGCAAATGGGTAAGGTTTTTGGACAAGTCATGAAGTGCCTATTTTAAGGTAATAATGTAAATGTCCAAAAGTTCTTTCTAATAGATTTATTGAAAAAAAAATCCGCCTCTGGTTGGATTTGTCACGTCATTGTAGTTAGATTATTATATTTTGATTCAATATATATGTTACGCCGTTGTAGTTAGACCTACATAATCGACATTTCATAAAGCCACCTAGTAGAGCGGCTTCGAGTTTCGGTTATTCGGAAATGAGAGTAAGAATTAGACGCAGATGTTTCTTATCAATTTATGTATTAATAGTTAAAAAAATTCAGCTTTTGACAGCTCAAAGCATTTCGAGAAAAACGAGCGAGTCCTTTTTTCTTAGGAGAAAATCATGCACTCGCAATAGCTGACTTGTTCAGATATACAATAAGCATTTAGCACTATCTGTTGAGCAGACTGAAGAGAAGGATAAACGCGTATACGAGACAGGTGCGTAAACCTCTTTGAATACTGAGAAGTGAAATCAAATTTATCATCTAAAATTAACAAAATGTGTTGCATGTAGCTATTTCAGAGTAATTTGAGTTCTTGGAGCAAATGTTTGAATAATTTTATTAGGGAAAAAAAAAAAAAAAAAAGCAAATGAATAATTTTGAGCAATTAATTAGAATAGATTTTCAATATAATTTACTTATTATTAATAATCAGCGGATGATTAAGGCGCTCTCATGACACTTCAACGTCGCTTTTCTTGTTTTAATTAGGGAAAATCAGAATTATGATTTTGGGACCCTACAGGTTACGCAGAATTCAGGTTCTGTAAATACATGTAAAAGGTTAGCAAAAATATGATTATGCAAACAGCAATATGGTATTGTCTGATTAATTGTTAGTAATAAAGGAGCTAAGATCATAAATTTAGCTCTGCTGTAATTCGTGTAGAAAAATTTTAAGAATAAAACTACAATAGTGTTATCAAGGGATTCTCCAAAAAGTATCCAGTTTCCACAATATTTTCATACTTCAAAATTTAAGTTTGATTAAACATTTGCCAGTTCCTAAAATTAACTCGTAAATATACCGGGCTTGATTAACTCGTAAATATGCTCGGCTTTATTAACTCATAAATATACTCGGCTACTCCGTCGATTTCATCTCTACTGTTGTGTAGTAAAGATAATACTGCAAGAATAAAAATTTAGGCAAGAAAATTATCTTATGAAGTGCTGATTTTATAAGGCATGTAAAAGATTAGCAAAAATATGATTATGCAATACGGAGGTCACTCTGAAATTTTTGTGATAGGAGCAGACGACAAGCGGTAGGAAAAAAAAATTAACTGTTAGATTTTCAAAATGTGAACTATTTTAGCTTAGGAGACGGTTTTTCATTGGGCGATTGCAAGTAGTTGAGCTTAGAATAAGTTTTAGGCAGAAGGAAAAATGGAGTTGGCGCAAGAACATAATGCGCTATGACTTTCTATGATTTTAAATTGGGATTAAATCAAGAAGAATAAGTTGAACGTCTACAAATAGCATTTGGAAATGAAGGTTTATCTCGTGCTACTGTATTCAGATGGTTTACAAAGTTTCACAGAGATCGTAACTCTCTTCAGGATGAAGAACACACAGGAAGACCGTTGTCGGCAGTAATCCCGGATAATGTGCCTTCCATACGGCAAATGTTAATCGACGATAATCACTACACCTACCAGATGTTACAGAAGGAAATTACCGCCGCCATACATACTAAAATTATTCACGAAGAACTGCATGTGAAAAAACTAGTTTGTTGTTGGTTACCCATAACTTAACTGAACACCGTAAAGAGAAGCATGTCAGAATCAGTAAGGAAAAAACTTGCATTACATAAAGATGGTGGCTACCGCATTATTTCTAAAATCATAACTGGGGATGAAACGTGCATACCATGTTTTACGTTCCAGCACATCAAGAAAGTAAAGTATGCATCTTTGAAATTGATCCCACGCCCAGAATGGTGAAAAGGCAATGTGCCATGAAAAAGTAATGTGTGGCGTTTTCTTCAGAAGTACAGGACTGGTCAAAGCCATCAAGCTGGAAGGAGAGAACATAGTCATACGGACATTAAGCTAGAGTATACATGCTCCACCACAAAAATGCATCTTCTTATTCAGCAAGACTGACAATTCAGTTTCTTGAACAAAAACACATCAAAGTGAACGAACATACACTATTCATCCGATCTAGCTATGGGCTATTCTGGATTCGCTCGTAGACGAATGCGTGCACTGATGCTCGAGGACACTACTTTGAACGCTGCGAAAATTTCGCAAGTGTAACTTTAAAAACCTATGTGTATCTAAAAAATTTAAGAGTATTCTTCATAGGTACTTTAAATTACACGTCTTATATTATCGCCTTTAAAACATATAATAAATGCAATCATTTCTGTGCATACATAAAAGTAACATGCATGAAGTAATAGTGTAGAGGAACAAAATAAAACAAACATGAGATAATTCTAAACAGGGAAAATGCACTGGTCATGCATATTTAAGTGCAATAATCACTGATAATATTATGAAGTATATTGAGAAAGCACTCCTATAAGCAAAGAGTGTGACAATTATTTCTTGGAACGGCCATATTGTGCTGCCTGTGATGTTAACTGTACAGAAATCATATGTGATGATTTATTATACACAATAGATATCTTATATGAACAAATTAATGTTAAAATGGGTGATTGAATTTTAGAGCGGTCTTTTAGCTTAAAACATTTTGCATGAAAATCGTTAAGGCAAAGTGTTAGAATTCTTAAAATGGAGTATGATAAAAGATGCTACCAAAAAAAAAAAAAGTCTAGTGTGTTTGAATGGTATGTGTAATAGAATGCTTAAGCCAATATTGTAACGTCTCCTTCCTCTGAAGAACACTTGGTCACCCACTCTCAAAGAAGGGACAGAGAACCCTCTTCTCGCCTCGGCCGGAAGAGGGGAGCAGACATTCCCCTGGGTCGCAGGTGGGAGTAAGAAGAGATTGAGATGTGGAAGAGAAAAGAGCGGACGCTGGTTTGCGCTCTCTACTGTAACGAAAATGTATTTTAAACTTTTTCTAAAATGTAATCTGTACATAGTTGTACATATAAGTAAATATTTAGCCTAGAACAGGTCTTGTTTATTTAACGAAGTTACGACTATGGTACAATATCAACGCTAGTCTGCATGATGGGAAAATGCACTCTGCGCGTCTTGAAAATTTAAAATGATTAGTGTTCATGCAGTGATGTGGTGTAATACCGAATCCCGTCAAAAGGGACGATGTGTGTAAAATATAGTAGGAACTGCAGTAAAAGTGTGTTAATAAACATGCCCATAGTTAATACGTGGTGTCTTAGAATTAAGCTGCATGGATTCACTACAATATGAGATTCAAAGATGGGCAAGAAGTTTTGACGGATGATCTCAGAAGACAGTGATGAACAATGAGGGACTTTATTTTCAATACCATGCAAACAGAAATAGACTGAACATGAGATTGATAGGTGGAGAATGAGAGTTTGTTTTAAAAAAAAACAGGCTAATTTTAAATGAAAAATTGAGTATGAGAATTATTTCTGCGAAGTTCTTATCTTATAATACACTCAGTGCGTTCCTTATGAGACATCTGTGGCTAAAAAAGCGGCTATTCGATTAGGTTATTATATATATTTATTTTCCTAAACTTAGTTTTCTCTGATTTAGAGTTATTTCGAAAACATTTGTGGCTACGCTTGGTACCTTTTGTTAAGTTTAAGGAGTTAATAAAGAAAGGCTTTTAACTTTTGAAGGACTTGGTTATTTTGATTTAAACTAGAGCGATATCCACAAGAGTATAAGGTGATTTCTCCTTCCTTTCTGAAAGCCTTCGTGGTGTAACGGTAACACACTCGGCGCGTATTCGAAAGGTCCAGGTCCGAGTCACGGTGAGGGCATTGCGCATTTTTCATGTATCTTGCTTTAAAAAAAATAACCTAATGACTCTACAGTAACACCCGAACTAAAAAGGTGGTGGATGATGATTCTTTACCACCAGGATTTGGCGATTAGACCCTCTATCTCCACTCGTCCTTTAAAAGGGAGAGTATGTAAGGTGTTTTCTCCCTCCTTTCTGCATGCTTTCGGTGTGTAACGGTAGCACACTCGGCGCGTATTCGCCTTTTTCATATCTTTGATAATTCACACAAAATTGTAAATATTATTGAACTTTGATATTTTTACCAAAGCTGCGCATGTTCTGTACATATCTAAAAGCTTATTTCATCAAGTATTTATCCCTAAATGTATTTTGTGTCCAAGATTGAAGAGTTGGTCAAGAAACCAAAAGGAAGTCTCTAAATGCATCACGTGATCTCTGGGACTGCCTTTCGCTCACTCCTCGGCTTTCTGACTCTAAAGTTCGCGGCTCTAAGTCACCGGACTGTAAACAGCACTCTCCTATGTCTTATAATTGCATTTACAATTGCTAACCTCATGAAACCTTCATTTATTTATTTTTCGCCGTCGGGTGTGGTGCACATAGTTGTGCATCTCTGTTTTAAAGCAAAACATATTAGAAATACATAAGTACATATTAGAAATATTATAAGTACATATTAGAAATTTATATTGTCACATTGTGTAAATTTCTTTTTTTTTTTTTTTTTTTTTTTTTTTTTTACACTTCTTTAATTACATTTTGATACAAGAAACAAGAAAACAAGAAAGATATTCATGTTCTTACCACTGGTGGAGCTTCAGCCAATAATTCTGGGGGAGGCATAGGCAAAGTACGATCAAGGTTCATATCTTCAAATGAAAGCTAGAAAAATAACAGTTTTAACAATCAGGAGACTTGTGCATAGTATTCACAGCTTTCGTTCAATCCAAATTCATCATCAGCGGTGAATTTCAAAATTACAAAATGTTAAAGAATCGGCAGCATTTTTAAAGACTGTTCTAGAAAATGTAATATAGAAAGAAAATAACTTTATAAAGCATAAAAATATGGTTCGAAAAAGTAAATAAAATCGAAACTTAAACTTCGCAAAGGGGAAAGAAACACTGTTCAATGCTAAGTAATGCCATTGTAATTATTCTTTTGTATTTTTCATTAGGAAATTAAAGAAAGATACGTATATACGACACAGAAAATACAAACCACTAGAGGATTTAACAATATTTTTAAATATTTAAATCATCATGTAAAATAATGCAGTAAAGAATGGCACTGTAGGGAGAACTGAATCAGGGAGTTTCCCCTGAAAACCTTTTCTTCAGGGGTAACTCCCTGATTCAGTTTCAGGTAAAAAGTTTTTTTTAATGTGTTATTACTTTTTTCCTTATAAATCAATACAGTCTAAATAGTGAGAGCAGAAAGAGATAACTACGAAATCTACTTACTTCGAGAGCATCACGTGTCTATATATTTATTACTGGATTATATTAATTCAAATTCATATCTTGCACTAAATATTTTCTGAATGCATATTTATCAATGATTCCAAGAAACTGCAGAAATTTCTCCTTATAAAAAGGGGGAGAACTTCACTCGTGTACCATAAGATAATTTTTGTTAATCTGCGAAAAGATTTATCCTGGTTTGGTACAGATTTTGGTAATATTCCACAACAGGATTTCTGAAACTAAAAATTTATGTACATTTTTTCGTTTCATGTTATTTCATAAGCTATACGAGGGTTGGGACAAAAGTCATGGCAACTATTTTTTTTTTTTTTTTTTAGATATGTGAACTGATCATAAAACGTATATGTTTCGTGTGGAAGTTCTGCAGGCATAGTGTATATGCAGAACAACAGATTGCTCTGTGATAGCTCGCTCTGTGGTAGCGAGGGCTCTGAAATCAGTTAGTTGGTGAGTGCCGTGCGAGATGGAATTAACCCGTGTTGAGCAGCGCACTTACATCAAAATAGCCGTTCTCCGAGGGAGAAATGCAATGGAATGTCGCAGTGAATTAGTAGAAGGCCTTGGGAATAATACCCTACCATATCGTACAGTAGCACGGTGGGTAGGAAAGTTTCAGCAAGGACGTGTGTCAACCAGTGATGAGCAACGTTCGGGACGACCGGTGAGTGGGCGGACCAACTTGGCACGTGCCGTCATCGAGCACCTCATGGATGAAGACAGACGATGGACATTACTGGAGTTAGAGAGGGCAAGTGGCATCGAGAAACGCACCGTCCACAGGATATTACGTAATGAGCTAGTGTCAGAATCCTTCCCCAGTCAAATTGATGGTGATCGTCGCGTATGTCAGGGGTGTCACTGTTCGCCACTTTGTTCCTCATGGCAGAACAGTGACCGCACAGTACTACAGGGACGATGTGGCGTTCGGGATAAACGTCCGGATCTTGTGGACAGTGCAATAATTCTGCACGACAATGCAAGACCACATAAAGCAGAGTGTGTACGGCAGCTACTCTGACGTTGGGGATGGGAAGAATTGGAGCACCCACCGTACTCTCCTGACCTTTTGCCCTGTGACTTTGATCTCATTCCCAAGATTAAGGAACCAAATACGTGGTAGGCAGTTTGCAACACGAGAGGACATTACTAATGCTGTGCGCCAACAGATGACCCGATTCACATATTGTGCGGCAAATGCTGAGGCTGATAGTATTCAGCGCCTCCCACATCGTTAGCAGCGTGTGGTGATAGTAGCATTGAAGGTCTTTAGGACTAGGTTTGTCATGTCAACTTTATGTGTATTGTGTTATCATTCTTTTGCACGATGAAAGCTATATTGCCCTGTATACTACCGTAATAAATTCGTGTGTTACGACATTTCAATGCTATTCATTGTCCACACATGTATTTAAGACCTTGTCCTTTCGTCTGTATATGTCAAATTTTCCAACCGGACTGGTATCTTCAAGAAAAAAAAAAAAAAATAGTTGCCATGACTTTTGCCCCAACTTACGTATATTTTTACAACTGTTCATACGTTGATCTTCATTATACGCTTTTTTCATCAAAATTTATTCCCGCTTTAGCGATGTAGCTAGGCGATATAAAACCCCCGTTAAATATTTTAGCCAGTTTAAATAGACCATTTGTCTAGTCTCCGGCTACGTTAATTCAATTTGAATTTCACTTATGTTATTTTAAATATTCGCAGGTGGCTGAGTTTTGTTATGTAAGCATGTCCCCTGCGGGTAAGTGGTGCCTTTTCTTAAATTTAAGGAGTTAATAAGGAAAGGCTATTATAACCTTTTCAGGACTTGGTTATTTTAATTCAGACTAGAGCGATAAGTCGCTTGCCTGTCTAATAAGATCTGAAGGACGTTGATTTAAACTTGCCGAGCGGTGAAGTCCCTGAACACTGGTAGTTCCGTCTGAGGTTCCAACTCCGTGAACTGGCTGGCTGCATGGGCTTTTTTGTGGTACCCTTTCAGTTTCCCTTAGAAAATTCCTCCACGAAGGCATCCCTCGCTCTCTCTCACGAATCATGCTTGGATACGGTGCAACTTTTAGCCTGCCCCCTCCCGAGTCTCCAAGTTTCTACAGCGCCAACAACCCCAGCGGAAGAATTTGGGTATATCTTAGATACAATGATAAACCATCCAGTAATTTTGACTTTTATCGAAAGTTTAAATACCCATTTTTTATTATACCTGTTTGAATAAGTAAAATGGTTGCTATAGCAATTGCTGCACTGCGAGGTCAAGTATTGAACTGATACAAATATATTGGAAAACCTCCTAGGCGAATCGGGAGGGGGTGAGAATAATAGATTCGATGTATTTAAAACTGCACTTTTCTTGTGGTTAAACACAGAGTAAAACTAGAATCAGAACTGTATGATAAATATCAGACGAATGTAGATCAGTTAACTAATTTCATTCTAAGAAAGGTCCAGTTGGTAAAATTGTTACTTGGGAAAAATCCGATGCAGAAATTGTTCAGATAGTATTGCCCAGGCTGTTGTCGCATATGGAAAATTTTGTAGAGTTGAGAAACCCTGGCGCGTTAGAAAATCTTTTTGTATTAGCTGTAAAATTTGAAAATCGGCGTATGTCAGTCAATATGCGTAGGCGGGAGTGGGATGAAAGAGTTAGCCAACATTTTGAAAAGCTCGTAGCCAAAAGATGTGACAAATTTTATGGGAGAAAAGGTCTTGGTGACTGCTGGCAAAACATTTCATCCGTTAATGGCGATGACAAAGATAAATCTAAAAAGAATTTCGATTACAGGAAAGTAGATACTGATAACCCAAAACCTTTAAACTATATAAGGATGCTGTGGGTCAAAGGTTAGTCAACCCAGATGGAAGAAAAAGGCCTCTCAGATTCAATTAAATACGGTATGAGGTAACCAAGAAAGTTCGTACGAATTTTGAGAACAGTTAGTTTTGGCTCCTTAATGTTATCAAACTAATTCTGATGACGACATATGTTTACATTACTTTCAAACCTTATTGAGTACAGAGTTGTTCAGTGCATCGCACTTTCGCTATCGATTTTGTAGGAAGCGCGATCTTCGATAAAATCATGTTGTTGGAAAAGGAGGTTTTGAGGCCTATTTTGCTTTACGAGTGCAAATTAAGAAACAAAGCTGCAGAGGCCGTTAGAATAACATGTTTCGAATTTGGAAAGACGTCAGTGAGTGAACGGGCTGCTCAAAAGTAGTTCAGCCTATTTTCTTCCAGAGATGAGTCTTGAAAACAAGCTTTGTGTTGGTCATCCATCTACCCTCAACAACGTCCAGCTGAAGGATGAAATCAAGCAAAATCCTCATCAAACCTGGCAAGAGCTTGAACATGGGTTTGGAATATCTGATGAAACCATTCGATCACATCTTGATAACTCTGAGGTGATATGGAAACTAAACAAGTGGGTTTCTCATATCCTGTCCGCGAAAAACAAACTCCAACAGGTAAACATCTGTTTGTCGTTCTTATCGTGCCATAATAAAGCTTCGTTCCTGCACTAATCTTGACATGTGTCAAAAAATAGATCATGCATGATAACCGGAAGATGAAACATCATTGATTAACTTCTGGTTAGATCTCATTGGCCGCTAAACTGGACATTCACCAAAAGCAGGTAATGCTGTGTGTTTGGTGGACCAGCGCTGGCACATCGTAGGAATTGCAAACAGTTTCAATTGCACAGCAACCAGAAACATCCAGCAGTGGTCAAAAGAAGAGTCCTCCACGATAATGGTAGACATCACACGGGAAAAGTGTTCAAAGAGGTCATCAAAACACAGGGCTAGGGAGTTCTACCTCAACCACCCTATTTCCCACTATCTGGTTTTGGCCATGGATAACCGCCTGCGGGAACAACAGTTCTGAAAACGCGACGATATTACAACTCCAGTATCACAATTTTTGGATTCCAGAAAAAAGGACTGTTCAGAAAAGGCATTTATAAGCTTGTGTCTCGTTGGAAACATGTAATTGAAGTTAATGGTGATTACTTTGAAGAATAAAACGGGTGTTTGAGGTTTTTATGGGCAGTTATTGATAAGCGACGAAAACTGGACGAACTTTCTTCGTTACCTAGAAATAAAAGCATTTTACTTCCAAGTACACAAATCGTTTTGAATGGAATACCGCCGGACGTTTTATTGGACATAGAGGACATACGGACATAGGGGACATTGGCATTTTCGCTGAAAAGTTTTTTTTTTTTTTTTTTTTTTTGTACAGGTTGTGTGATGTGGCAAGAGTATGGTGATAACAGCACCTGAAAAACACTGTTGTGAATGCATAAGACGAATACCTCTGAGCGTCAAAGGAAAGAATGAGCAGCACCGGTTTTTTTTTTTTTTTCTTTTTTTCATTATGAAAAATTTACAATCAGGAGTGATTTTGAGTTTGGATTTTTTAAAAGCAGCTGGCGCTTGAACTGAGTTTCAAAAGGACTCACTACAGTTGGACACGAACAAGCTGAAGGAGAAACAAGTCGAGCCGCCGGCCTTTGAACTTGAAGGATTTTCTCTCGGAAGAAGAATAAAGTTGTAACATTTGGTAAGAAATTTTTCAAATTTATTTGATGAAACTCCAGAGTAAACACATATGGTTAGTCACTCGATCAAAACAGGGAATAAAACCCCATGTAGAAGAAGACCCTACCGATAAAGACCACGATAAAGTTAAAGAAGACTTGTGTAGGAAATTCCTATTGTATAGGAAAAGAATTATCTTTCTGCCCTTGATTTTATGGCCACGTGATTTGCTATCGATTACACAAAACTAGACAGTATAACAAAACAGCCGGTTTACGCGTTACCAATGATTGAAGAAATAATAAGGAAAATTAAGTCTACAAAATATATGATCACGTTGGATATCAAGTATGGAAATTTTCAAATATGTTTGCAAACTGAGAACGCGCCAAAAGCAGCATTTATTACCAAGACAGGAGTGCATGCGCTACTTTGAATGCTTGTTGGAAAGAGTGCATTTCTCCCTTGTGGCTGCTCAATACTGAAGACGCGTAACGTTCAACGCTATATAGTCCCGCGGTAGAAGCCAAGAAGGTTTGTCTCTTTCTCTTTCTCTCTGTGAAAACACTGTCCTCCCGACATCCTGGTCATCGACGTGGCCAGTAAGCGTAATTCTCTTCAGCTTGCTGCAGCGATCTGATGTATGGAATCCTGACATGAAAACGATCTGTCGAAGATTACATTGGAAAAAGGAATCTAGCTGAATGTCCCAGACAGCATTATATGAAGTATCGTACGAAATTGTGGCAGACAAGTGTCTGACGACATACCAATCAAGGTTAATCATGGTTTTTCAACTCTCATCTTCTTCATGTTATGTTTATTTCTCACATGTCATAGGTTAATATATCTAATTCATCTGTTTTGTAAAGCTCAAGTAAAGCATCCATAAAGTATAATAAAATAATAATCCTTATATTTAACTTCTATAGCACATATAGCAGGTTCGAAAAGCACATATGTTGTTTTGGAACAAAGTTTTTACATTTTTTTTTTTTTTTATTTATTTATTTATTTATTTATTTATTTTTTTTGTAAGGAACAAAGTTTCACACTACGCCAAAACTCTCAACGTCATCATCATCATATAAATTAAAATTCAACATGCCTATAAGTGGCTCCCGCTACATTTCAAAAGGCAATAGACATAATCTTAAGGCCCGTACTTATTAAACCAAAATTCATATAAATTTGGAGAAAAAATAACAAAAATTTGTTTACTCTGCACTTTCATTAAAGGACGGGAAAAAGGCAATGCCGTATCTTCCATCTCAAGTATAGCAGTCGTCTGAAAAAAGTTGGTTTTTTTATCTTCAAGTTCTGTAAACTGAGTAAGCATCTGTGCTGATGCTAGCGATAAACTTTTCTGCAAATAATGTTTTAAAAATACCAATTCCATTACAGTACCGCACTCGATGGAATTGAATCCACAATATTCAGCTCCGGAGGCCAAAGCCTTTTCCATTAGGCAAATAGGAGCACTTAAAAGGAACCTTAAATTGGTGTGGATTTTAATTCAAAATGTAAGATTTTAAAATCTATCATTATTTTTTTTTTCAACAATCTACTGTTTTAGGTTATTATTGCGTAAAATTATCAATTGTATCTCATTTATGACTCATAATTATGGTTTTATTACTGTAAATAAATTTGAGAACTTTTAAAAATAATTTACTCAATTACTGTATTAATTTATATATATATACATATACTTATTTATTTATTTATCATCTGATTTTTTTATTAAGGTTTATTCTATTTGATTTTATATTTTCCCCAAGAAGAGTTTTTGAAAGCATATTCATTTAGAAGCCGTGGTAAAAACTGGACATCTGAAACGAAATATTTTAAACTGATGAGGCAAGCGACATAAAGTTACATCAACCCGCACACTTTTTGGCCATCCAGAAAATATCGCCTCTGAACTCGTTTCTGATTGGTTACTGCTTTTCACTCCAAAGTGTGACTGCGTTGGTGAGAAATGGCTTTTAATTCTTTCCGGCACGCTACCTTTTAAAGTTGGAGTTTTGATTTAAAAAAAAAAAAAAAAAAAAAAAAAAAAAAAGGTAGGCAGTCTAATAGCACTTATCTTTTAATTCTGTGGGTGTGCCCAAAGTGGGCACAACTGATTGAATAGAGCTTCGAAAAGAGTGCTGAAACGAGCATTGTTGTCAATGAACTGACCGATGAGATGCGGAGAAACAAAGAATACAGACTTTCAGTTGTCCTAGATTATCGGTGAGCCCGGTCTGGGCATACCTAGGGTTCGCCGTTTGATTTTAAGCAAGTTTTCAAGATAAAAATTTAAAACTAATATAGAATAATGAGTTTAGCATACAGCCAAAAAAATAACATAGAAATTTGTTTTCAAACAATTTCTTTTATACCCTAAAATAAAATCTGGAAGATTTCTTTGAAAAATGAGGATCTTAAAAAACTAAACATGGCTAAAATATATGGACAGGTTTGTGTTTAGCTGCCTTGATAAATAAAGAAGGTTCAGAGTAACCTATAGTAATCTATAAATCTCCTTTTTCATTCAATTTTTCTGTGCGTACAAAAGGAAATTTTTATGTGTGTCCAGACCGGACACACTGTGCTGCAAAGGGTTAACGCATTTTCTTCGTGCACAAGTTTATTTTATTCCTGTATAACTGCGACGTGGCTGCTGACCCCGGAGGATCAGTACACTTTGGAGGTAATAAGAGGGACTACCGATCAATCATCTTCCTGCTAAGATGTTCAGTTCTCTCTGTCTTTTATTTACATCATTGTATCTCGTTCTTCATTCACTCGGGGCTGTAACTCCGGAGCTGTAGTTCCCGTGGTTCCTTCAAAGCATCCCTCGATAGGTAAGTTCAACGCCAATGGTCGGTAGCTTGGCCTGGGAAATATTCTTTGAAAGATGCAAGGTCCGAACACCATTTACAGAAGCGGTCGGTGACAATTATTTGATGAGCGGCAATAAATGGACAGATTGATAATGCAGGAACTATCTTGAGCGGGGAATTCTCACGCTTACGTTTCTCACGAGCGTTTGCCCTCCTGTTTCTTACTCCGTTAAACAATGCAATATTAATATTTTTATTAATATTTTTGCATTGAAAATTAAGCAACAGCTATGGCATCTTTTTATACTTATGGCTAAATATGGAGCATAACAGAAGAGAAAGCTACATATTAGTGAAAATACGAACTTATTTGTGTTATTTTGGAATTACAGTAAGTAACACAAGGAATGAATACAGCTTTTCATTAAAAATATATATATAGTAACGATTTATTTACCTGCTGTCGTCTGACTTCTCTTTTCTGAGATCTTCTTGCGTACTGTATTCCAAACACTATTAATATGATGAGAAATCCTGAAACTGTCATACACAGCAATCCAGAAAAGGAACGTATTGTATCATGAGTAACTGCTTGCATCTAAAAAAATACTTCTTATCAAAGTTACAATTATTCATAAAATGTTAAGGGGAAATGATCACAATGAAATCTCAATAATGTACTAATATATTTCGGGACACTGGAATTGCTAGAGTAAAATGTGTGGATGAAAATTCTAATTGCTGAATTGCTCTGCCCATCTCATCCCCTCGCTGAGATGGGCAGAGCAATTCAGTGTGGACTCAAAATCAAAGTGTTAAAAATATATGGGCAATTAAAATGCAACGGAAAACGATAACACTCCTAAATTACTTATTAAACTATATAATTATACGTAATGTAACAAATATAGGAAGCTCAAAAGTTATTTTTAAAGCTAGATTCTTTCATCGGTCATCAAGAAAAAGTAAATATATTGCATTTTTTTATTTATCTGCATCCAAAGTTTTTTCATGGTGGCTTAGAAAAACTATTTAAGGAATAAAGAGTGCACACTGAAGTATCTGATTACAGTACTAAATTAACTGGAGCATTATGCAATAAGAAATTATCCCTTTGCTGCGAAATCTGGCGAATGGATAATGAATTATCTGGTATAATATCCACATGACTTCTGTTACTATCAGCTTTCAGTTTCATTTGTACATTCATTTCACTTAGGAATTGCCTCATTTAGCCACTTACTAATTATCGATCAGTTATTAATACAACAGTAGTTATGTTTAGCTACGCTTCCTAAAAACGATATGAAGCACACTCCACTTACAGATTTGTGTGCTTTGGAGTAAATCTAGACGGGCAATTATCATACACACACTTTGCTTTGTAACAAATTTGGTTACATGAATAGTTCTTAGAAACAACAACAACAAAAAAAAATTTCGATTGCATTTTTCAATACGCGGAAAGTGTATTTCATCTGTTTAGTTCATATCTGAAAACGAGTGTGTTAAGGAGTTGCGAAATATTAGAGAAAATCCTTAATAACGCAGGGTTCACCTTTAGTTTTGATTACAGCCGATGTTTTTCTGGAGATGGACTCAACAAGGTCCTGATATAATTTATGAGGAATATTAGCCTATTTTGATATAATGACAGCTACAAATTAGTTCATTTTTATAGTAGTATCACAAACTTTGAATTAATTTTTCTGCTTCATTCCACAAGTGCTGAATAGGATTGAAGGCGGAAAAGGGAGTTGGCAAATTTAAACTCCGAATCATGCTCTTCAAACCAATCTGAGATCAATTGTGAGCGGTGAGAAGGTGCGTTATACTTCTAAAATTGATAATGCATCAGGTAGAACCGCCACCGTAAGTGAAAGTACGTGCATTGCAATGGTATTGAGGTAAGTTTTGTGCTGACTGTTTCTAGCCATATCATGTTGTAGAGACATTAGGTTTTTTTGAAGCAGGAGACGTGAGATATGAGCAATGCCTTCGCCGGGACTCGGACCTACACCTCTCGAATACTCATCGAGTGTGCTATCGTAATATCGCGAAGGCTTGCAGAAAGGAGGAAGAAAATACTACCTTATAATGTGACTAAAGGCAAATATTTCGCAGATCATAATTTTATGGATACAAGCTTATGAGTTGCCTTGAATTTGTTCTGCTTGCGGCATAGTCTTATCTTCCTAATTTAGCAGAAAATGAGATTAATCGGTACAAGCAACTATTTTCTAGGTGTCAGAGGTCCAGTTTATCATGGTCCCAGAGCAACCATGATTTCTTGTTTATAATGTGTTAGCATTACCATCCTTGAAGGTCTTTTGGTGTTAAGACCAAATGTTATCAACTCCATCGAGTTGTGCATTGAGGTATACTTTGTGTTACACCTGGACTTTACTGAACTGCAATATATCATGTTGTTGCCCTTATGATGCTGCAGCCGGATTCTGATAACCACCTCTCACCTCTTTCATTCAGTAGTATTTTTGACCAGAATTGTCCTTGCTGCCTGAAATTTTTTGCTCAATTGCCACTCTTCAAACACCCAAGATATTTTTGCACGAGAAAACCATAGAACACTGACAGTTTTAGAAAAGCTAGAAACGAGTATTCTTGCACTCCTGATTATACCTTGTTCAGAGTCACTCCAGTTTTTTTATCGTACCCATTTTCAGACTAACTGCAGTGATAACTATAACGACAGTGCTTTATATAAGCTACTCATATATGTTAACTTGTCTGCAAGTCACTAGCAGACTGTTCCATGTTTAAAAAAAAGGATTTGTCTAATATTTCGGCCATTCAGTGTATACTTGATCATTTTGCCATGCCATAAAATAGCCTTTGAGTAGTATAAGTCTCATCTCTCTTTCTTAATATTCAAATATTAATTCAAAATATTTTACTACAGACAGGGATTAAATTATATGCCACAGAGTGTAATGACATTTGCTTTCATTACATGACAGTAGACATTTTAACCATCCTTCTCTGGAAATATATTCTGTATGTCTTTATATGATCTTGAAATTAATACAAATTAAAGTAGTTTCTATTACAACTTCTGTTCGGTAAACGTGAATACTGCTACATTTAAATGTTAAAAATATTGTGACATATATCATTAGATAAGATAATTATAAGACGTATAACATTACGTCTACATAATATATAATGTTAGTGTAAATAATCTTGAAAGAGCAGTCTATAACAGTATATAAATTCACTTAAAACAGAACTGTGTTCTTCCTGTATGATTTTGTAAACCTCCATAAGTCTAGTTTTATTACAGTCTGCTTTCTTAAATCTTCCTTAGTTTATATTTTCACAGTAGCTATGGTCCTACATCAGAAGATTATGAGGTATCTTATGTTAATTAACCAATTATTATGATTTAAACTTCACCTATATTTGATTTTTAACGCTATCTTATGCTAATTTAAATTCCCACAAATAGCGTAAGTTCGTCTGTCGCACAAGTTGTGCCTTTCTGTTCATTTAGGTTTTAAATAAGAAGGTTATTTCAACTTTGTTTAGACTTTGCGATTTGTTTCAAATTAAGCAATAACTCGCTATTTGTCCATTAGGGTCTGTAGGACTTTTACACAAGCTCCCAGTTACAGTAGAACCTTACAAGATAACTATTTTTTTATAATTTGTCGCTTGTAATTCAAAAATTTGTTTTGGCTCTGACGTGAGTTATTTATTCTGAATAGAATGCTTCTTGCCTATGAAGCAAATAAAGAAATTTTCTTCTCGCAGAAAATTCCTCCACTCCAAAATTTTTTATAATATATCATGTACAAGGACTGTGAATTTCAAGTTACTTCTTATTAACAGAAAAGTTTTAGTTCTAAAATCTTCCGGAAAATGTTTACAAGAATTTAATTTAATTACTAAGTCCTTTCTTAGCATTGATAAAAAAATCTGCGCATATGCATGATATATAATGGTATGGTATTCACATGGCTTATTTCAGTAGAATTGAACTATATTTTTATAAGATGGTTACATTGGATATCTCTGCAAGATGAAGAGACTTACTTTCCCGTTTTTGCATTCACTTGAGTCGATCCACCATTTACGATAGAGATGGCCTAATAATCCTTTGTTTTGTATGGAATTCAAAGCTGTATCGATGCTGGACCTATAAAAAACTAAATAATGTAAGCATAAATTTACACCACATGAAGATTTTATGCTCATATTTTGAAATGAAAAAATTGAATGAGGAATGCAGTAAATATTTTCCATTAGTGAAATGATAACAATTTTTATTCTGTCAAGACACGAAATTCGTGTAATGAATAGAATAATATCTGACTTAAAGTTAAAAAAAAATAAGAAAGAAAAACAAAATTAAAAAAAAAACCCTTTCTGAAAACGAAATCAGTGTACCGACACATTTGATAACCAGTAACCAGTGTACCGACACGTTGAAGCTCAACTTACTTTTATCTGGATTTTGCAGTATACCCAGCAAAGCAAAGCAAATGGTCTCGCAAGCAGGTATCCAAACTGATAACAGCAGTAACAATAAATAACCTATGGCTATTTCGAAAAGCGAGCTAGCTAATTTCTCACAGGTTGAACTAGTGTAAATTTCAAAGGTAAATAATAGTTTGTTGATTCAATGTTACTACCAGCTGATAATAAGGAAGTTAAGAAATGTTAGTCATTTATGAAACTGTGTGATTTGTAGATCTCAGATTAAAAGCCACATTCTTCAGCATTACGCAACCGGTGAAAGACAGTTGTAACGTTTACTAAACTAATGAAGTATACCTATACATGTAATAATTATAGAAATATTTTTCTTTAAGTAAATGAACTTCTGCGTTAGCGCAGTCATGTATAATATAACCTGTAAACTTTGCTTATAAAAAAAGGTGACCAAAAATGATCTGAAGTATTCGCATCGCAAAAATACAGTGATAGAAATTTAAATCGCAACACCAAGAAGGAGTTGTCCTAGTTAAAGAAAATTTGGGAGGCATGTTTCGCATCTGAAAGATGACATCTATTCAGATTTCGGTCTAGATGAATAAATGTGCCGTTAATAGGGCCGCTATGAGCATGAAAATCACGCTTGCTTTAAATACGCGTTGTAAACTTCAAGTGTTTTATTTATCTTTTAGGAGCTGTTAGCGAGATTCAAGTCAAAAATGCCTTAAGGAGACGAAAAAAGGAGTATTAACAGTTTACTAAATTTGAACAAGACCGCGTAATAAGGCTACGAGAAGGTGGATTTTCTTTTTGCGATACTGCAGAACATTTTGGCAGGGATGTATCCACTATGAATGCGTGTTGGCAGCAATGGTCACAGGAAGGTACTGTCTCAAGTAGGCCGGGGTCCGGCCGTACACGTACCACCCACTCAAAGGGAAGACTATTGTATTCGCCGCATGTCTGTAGCGCATCGCACTGCATCTGCAGCACACTTTTGAACTTTTGTTGGCATCAAAGTAACACAGCGAACTGTAATAAATCGATTACTTGAGCAACAGCTCCGAGCCATACGCCTTGTAGCAACCATACTATTAACTGCAAATCACCGCCATCTGCGACTTGTCAAGCTAGAACTCACTAGAGAGCGGAGTGGGGATCTTTTGTATTCTCAGAAGAGAGCCGTTTCATTCTTGGTGCCAATGATGGCAGTATGCTGCTTAGAAGAAGATCCAAGCTGTCGGCGGCTTAAATACATTGGACCTACATAAGGAGTTATGGTGTGAGGAAACATTTCCTATTTTCATTTTCCTAAGGTGTGTGGAATAACAAGTAACTTAATAGTAAATTTGCACTTCAGACTGGTGACTGCACCGGTTGTACATTTCCTATTTTCATTTTCCTAAGGTGTGTGGAATAACAAGTAACTTAATAGTAAATTTGCACTTCAGACTGGTGACTGCACCGGTTGTGCTGCCATTCTGGAGCAATATTTCAGGAGAATTTTCCAGCACTCGTCCTCATACCGCTGCTATCATCCAACGTGTTCCACAGAATATCGACATGTTGCCTTAGCCTGCGACATCACTTGATTTTTGTCCCTCAAGCATGTATGGGACAATCTTACGCCATCCACAACTAACACAGATCGTTGCTGATTTCACTTATCAAATGCAGCTGGCATGGAGCTCGCTGTTAATAAAATGACAACTGGCATTTGTACGATCCAATGCACGAGCGTTTGCATGTTTGCATGCAAAGTATTTAACCTGTGTTCTTGAAAAAGTAATCAAATAAATATGTTACCTATACAAATGCTTTATCTTCATTTTATTCCTCTGAACTAATTTCTTGGTGTTGATATTTCATTTTCTATCAGTATACCTTTCAAACTGTAGTTATGGAAATGATAGCAACACACCAATGGTCGATATGTGTTCCGAATTAGGGTAATTTTGAATCACGTTCCTAATATGCATGTTTATATCAGACACTGCTTCGTTATTTAGTGGGAGATGCCACAATATATGTACAAGTATAGAGGCAATGTGTTACATTCGGTGTTCGTTACGAAAATGAGCAACTAAGCTGCATAAAACCAACATGAACAGCTATAAGTGTTCGGAAAAATTAAACATGCGATCATTTGAATCTTAACTGTATTTATGCATGAATTAATTAAAACTGATGTTGACACAACTGAAAAAAAGAAGAGACACCACTTCCGTTATCTATGGTAAAAAAAGAGAGGCTTTAACAATAAATAGGGGGAAAAAGAGAAAATCTAATTTTGTAGTGCTATTTAATGGCACTAATATTTCGTAGTGCCATGCCTGTCCTTGATGACGACTGTATAGCACTGTAGCACACATGAAATGAGATTTTGGATCTTGTTATGGAACTAAACCTGAGGTAGGTATTTTTATCAATACATTTTAAACTATCTTGTTCCGAAGATATTCTACAGGATTTAAATCTGGATGGTCACAAAGTTAAACCTATGTACAGCTATTATTGACTTGTAGGCATTTTTATCTTGAAAATGGTAAGGGGGCATAAAGAAAAACAATATAAATAGTTGTGCATTAATACGATAGTACTGGGATCAGGATTTTTTACTTAGCGATTTGACTCTGTGGCACAGAACCGAAACTTTTTAAAATATGCGCTGTGACACGTCTAAATCGCTGTTAAACAGTACGGCAACAATTTATGATCTTGCCTCTGTAGAATATTTCTGCAGATCAGGATGTTGACATTTCGATTGATAAATTCAAGTCGCTCTGTTCTTCCTTATGCAAAGCACCCTAGATCACTAGGGACATCGAACTGTGTACACGATACTAAAATCTTCACTAGATCCATGAAGTGTGCAGCAATTTATTTCACATTTCCTTTAGCCCATTTTAGAAGCAGGGATCTCAATTTTTTAGGAAACAAAGGTACCCTTGGGCGAACCCTTTCGCTTAATTTTAAACGGGCCTATTAATATAATTTTAAATTTCAAATTTAACTGTTTACCTACTATTTGCTACAATTAGACAATTAGTTTTTGTGAAGCTGTTTAAATTTCTTTAATAAAACCATACTGCGCTCCATGCGTTAGTTTTTTTTATTAAAATAATAGTAAAAATTGCATAAAAATTTAATTCCGTTTTCTAAAGAAATTTCTGTTATGTCATTAAACTCGAACTCTATTGTAATACCATATAATTTTATAGCATGTCTACTGCACGATCACTGTTCACCGCTGCTGTTTCACATCTCAGATTCTATTTCCTATTGCTTCACTTTTAGTAGCTATTTTTATTTCCTTGCATCCGGGATCTCTTGCCGTAAAATAAAAGCTTATAATCTTCATTTCTGTGTTCCCTATTCATTCTTTTAGATTTCCTCAACTAACATTTTTAAACCCAGAATACTGAAAAGTTAACTAGTCAAGAATGGAGCTATTATTTCATTCGCAGAATGCTTTTTCTTTGCGGTGTAAGAGCTCAAATTTAAACAATAGTGATAACGAAACACTGCAATAGAAAGCACTAACTGGAAAGGTCATAAACTTTGCAAGCCTTTTGGAGCCACCAGTGAGCGATCAGTGGTAAATTCGTTAAACACTTGTTGTTCGATCCGGGTTCAAATCCTGACGAACAGGCAGGCTGCCTGGGAATTTCATGGCTTTCTGCATTGATAATGAGAATATGAGTCAAATTACCTTGAAACGGCCTTCACAAAGGCTTCCATATCCTTAGGCTGATATTTCTTGCATGCTAATTCAGAATTTATTAATTTATTCGGCGTGTTATTGTGTCTTACTTATTTCTTGCATGCTTTGCCATAATCCATTTCAATTCTCAAGCTTTTGGCCATAATAAAATTTCTTGCCTTCCTGTAAACCTGCAGCTTGAGGAAAACGAGAAGAAGGTGTGAATATTATTCATGGTAATTTAGCATTTTATTTTTAAACTCCTTTTGAGGATTATGCACGGATACTCCGCTCACGGCTAATCAGGAATCTGATGCAGCTTAATTACAATGATAACATGAAACAAATTTATTTGATTATGGAGGATTTAGGAACGTAACGTATGTACTTACTTCAGTTGTGATGTATATGGGAATGCTATTCCATAACCAACATAAAACGCGGAATCATGTGTGACTACAATATCACAAGGTTGTCTTCCGAGAGCATATTCACTGGCCAAGGATTCTACCATAAATATGTAGTTCCCTTTAGATTCTCTGACTCTCTTTATTCCTTCAGAAATAGTAGAAACTTTTACATCTTGATTACTTTCCAGGTATGCTTTATATTGCCTATATAGAGGTAATGTTGATTTCTAGAACAACAATTATATTAAATTAATGACTAAAAGAATTTTCAGCCGAAACTGCAGCAAGCATGTTAATGAAGAAATTTAAACAATAATTATTGCTTATAATTTTAATTTTTGATTGGTTAGATTAAAAAATAAATGTATTGCAAATGTCTGCCACTTTCAGAAAGATTGCACGATTAAACATCTCTTAAAAGTTATTCCGTGGTTCCAGTTTAAAAAATAATTATAATAAATAATCAAATAAAGTAGACTTTCAGATAACTGCAACAATTCTGGTCACATGGAACATTTTAATTAAAAAAATATTAAACTATAATTGTTATACTGGTTCCTTAGAAAAAATGCCCGCGAGAGAGAAGCTTTTCGTAACGGGTTTAGTTCAAATAAAAAATAGGATACAAAAACATTTCATTTTTTTTTCACTGTGCACACACATTGCGAAATATAACTAAAAAAATACAACTAGTAACTTATTATCTTCAGAATGCAAATTTCTGAAAGATATCTTTTACGTCAGAAAAGCATTTATATAGAATAGAACAGCGGTTCTCAATCTGCGCTCCTTGTGCAATTCCCAGGGGCTTCTGGGCCGCTCCAGAAAAGTAAAGTATATATGAACCTAAATGAAATCAAGGTATGTGTATGTGTATGTATGTGTATATTTAATTATGGCAAAGCACACGAGGGCTATCTGCCTAAGGGGAGGGATGCCTTTCGTGGAGGACTTTCTAAGGGAAACTGGCTCGTATACACGTTACACATGGGAAAACCACGAAAACGCCCATGCAGCCAGCCCGTTCGCGGGATTCGAACCTCGGACCGAACTACCAGTGTTCAGCGACTTTACCGCTCGGCCGCTGGTGGGCCCAATGAAATCAAGGAATAAGAAACAAAAAGTAGAATCAAAATCGGAAATTCAGAAATAGCATTTTGAACGTAGAAATTCACCAAGTTTAATTTCGTGCCTCCTTTAGCAGACAATGCTTAATTATTCCTTGGAACTGCACACTCGAGGAATTTCTCGATTCATCAAGAATTCCTAGAATCTGCTCGAAGCTAATCAACACTTCATAATGAATGTTCATAAAAATAATATTGCGATTTTTGGGGTTCCACCCTTTTATCTAACAGCTAAATGAACTGATAAGTGAATAATCGCTTTAGTTCGTGAACAGAGACGTAAACTCAAGAAGGGTTAATTACCCTTTATTATTCAAAATAAGAGTGTACAGTCGGTCCCTTTCTCAGGACGTACAACAAAGCCTCCACTTGGGCTTGAACTCAAAGTAGTCAGAAATAAAACTTAACTAATGCTTAACTAAAAAGATATAACCGAGGTTATCAAAATTCTAATTAGTTGGCCCCTAAATATCGAATAAGCTGGCGAAGCTATCAAGGGCCTGAAATACGGCCGAGCATAGCTTAGAGAGAGACGTAGCCAAAAGGAGAACGCGCGCTAGTCAGAAACTCTGAGGCTTTCTCTCGAAGTCAGTGGAACTTCGATTTAAAGACCACTCTTACTCATTTGCATTAAACGTGATTCTAAAAACACAGGCTGGTAGGAGATTGTAAGCTGAAATAAGAAAGGACAGGAAAGTAGCTTTAACTAAAGATAACTGTTAAAAACTTAGGATAAACCTTACATCTTTTTAGCTATCTTTCCACCAATCTGCCGTGCGTTTGCTTTCTTTGTCACCTATAGTTGTGTAGCTGGTAAGTTTCTATTTATAAATGTGATAATAAATATAATAAACTAGTATATAAAATCACAACCTCTTAAAAAGCATATTAATGTGCAAAAAATATGGGAAGCCACCATGAGTCCTTCTTGCGAACATAATAAATCTACCATTGCTAGAGAGAAACGCCGCAGTTCTTGATGCAAACGCCAAAGTGGCTTCTTTCAAGTGGACGCTTATGTATCGATTGAAATGCTTGGAAAAGTAAGATAAGAGTTGTATTTTTGTTATAAAAATATTGAAGGAATATAACTTCAGGATTGAAGAAAAAACCAGAGAAATATTCAGGCTCATATCGAAGCTTTGAAAAACTCTTTCGAAATTTGCATTCCGACAGCTCAAGAAACCGTGCTTAAATTCCTTTGAACGGGTACTGAATTTGTTAAGTGTTAACAAAAAACTATCGAGCTTAAATTCAACAGAATACGAAGTCCTCATAGATCTGATATCTCATAGCGAACTAAAATTTACTTTCAAATTCAAAGCTTAACTGAATTTCATCTGCATATAAGAGGAAATCAATATCTTATATGAGAAAGCAAAATTACAGCTGCCGTCTGTTTCAACTACACATCCTTGTGTCGCAGGATTCTTGGCCTATCTAGGTAATAAAACAATTAGCCTCAGTGTAGAACGAGGCAATTCGCTTCCAGTTATCAACAAATGAACATAAAATAAGAAAACTGCTCACAAAAAATGAAATCACAAGTGCATAAAAATGAAAACCCTGTGCTGTGCAATGCCACATAATAATCAATAGATAATAAAAATATGTTTGGATTACCAAGTGATTTTGTAATTCTTCAAAAGTTATTGGTATCTACTACTACGTAATCGCTATTTATTCTAACTTCAATCCGCTCGTGACTGTAGAATTAATTGGTCAAGCAATCATTTAATATGAAATTATATGCAACGAACTACGTTATCATTACAATTTAGTCGACAATATGTCGTAAGTAATGGTACACAAATGGAAAAATTCAATTGTTTCAAAAAATATTTTCGGTCTATCTACCATCTATCAAACAGTTACTGCAGTTTCATAAAATATTATATTTATGTAACTGCAGTATTACTTCTATTTTCGTTAAGAAATTCATAGACATGTCAAGAATACTGCATTAACTTACTTTCAGAAACTTCTCTATGCTACCTGGAGAAACTATTCCGATCTTTGGCCATCCATTTGAAATAGACTCCTAAAAATAAAGAACATTTCATTTAAATATGTAAAATGAATTTTTTTTTAAAAATTAGTAAAATAAATTCGAATATTTTCATTTCACTTTACTAAGAAATAAAAAATTTTTGAAGATACAAATGGTACAAAAAGTGGTCTCAAATTGGCGGTCCGCATGCGACTCCCGAAGCAATTTTTCTCTAACGTCGAATTTATTTTTTGTAAATTAATTAGCACTATTATGGCATTGATTATTATGACAGGAATTTGAAGAAAAAGTTCAAAATTTTAATGACTGCGATTCCAGTTTCACATTATTTTCATTACCAAGACGAACGTAGGTAACGTCCCAGGGAATCTACAAATACAGCTAATTAATTTACACAGTGATGTAAATCTTATTCCAGTGTTTGAAGATACAGATTTGATTAACGCTTTTTCGTGCTTGTCGGAAATTAAGAAGTTCATAATTATTTACATACAAATATATTTTTTTTCTACATGTGTGGAAGAAAAATTTGATAAATAAAAGAAAAAACTAAGTTGGCTTTATATATTTTCAAGTTTCCTCCTTTTCATAATTTAAATGAGTTATTTAATGGTTAATTGAATGTCAGTCTGAAAATTTAATATTTAGCTGTCAATGCATTTGAGTTAGAAAGTGTAACCAACAGAAAGTTCCTATGCATACTAACTTTTAGATTTCAGACACAAAATAAGTATAAATTTGTATTTTTTGCGTCAGTATGTTTATGCATGTTTTGATAAATATTTATTAAATAAAATTTGAAATATTATTTAAAAATTTTATTTTTAAGGTCCTTTAAAAATAAATAAATAAAAACATTTTTAACACTTGAAACGGACACGTCTGAGCTGAAAGCAATCCCCACGTAACTGCCCTTCGTAAACCCAGCAAAGACTTGCCGCAACATCAGAATATGTATCCTTAATGATTTCCTAGTGGATCCTTATCTGTTCTCAAAACGTCTGACCGGTGCGGCGTACTTGAAGCAAGTGTTCCCCTGTTTGTTCGACATTGTTTCGCTCACAATAAAGAGGGGCTTGTTGTTTACACATACCTTACCCCACCGTAACTGGCATCCATGTTGTTTGGTGTGTGTTTTGGTCGGGAAAAAAAAGTCTTTGTATTTTGGTAAACTTTAATTTTGTGAATGTGAAAGTGAGTTTTTTATATCCATCTTTCATTCCGGTTTCTGAAAATGTGCATCTTTTGACTGGATGAGTAAAACTGAGAAAGTTAGAAGTGTTTAAAAATTTCTACGTGTCAAGCTGCTCATTAGCATACGCATGTGAGTACTTTTGCTTAATTTTGATATTTAAAGACAATGCAAGTGGATTTATAATGCATGTTTTTAATTATATGCTACTCTTGAATTACGTGCTTGGTCTTGTGCTTCAGATTTAAGTACTTTGAAAGTTACAAGCCTTTTTACGTTGAATTTCTGAGTGGCTCATTTGCATACGTTTGTAAAGTTTTTCTGTTTATTTGAAGTTTATACACCATGTAAATATATAAATTGATTGTGCTTTCATTCTATACACTTTTGTGGATATTTATGCAAAATTTTACTCATTTGCAACAAGTCTTTAAGAGATATAAGCTTTTCAAATTTCGAACACGCTAATAATGGATGCCTTTATTTACAATTGAAGTTTTGGTGCACCATTCAGTTAGTCTTTCTGCGTGGGATGGCGAATAATGAGCGGGAAGTTCTTGAAAAAGAAGATAGAATTTCAAAGGGATCGGAAGATACTGTATCTTATATCGCTGACAACGTACTGTCCTTTATTAATGAAAACTCTAAAGAATTGGATGAGGTTTTAGGTAACCCATCTGATAAGGTGAACAAATCTGTAGGTAATAAAATTAGAGAAATATTTAGAAAACTGCAGAATGCAATGAATAGTGTTCTTATTGAAAATGGTGAACTAAGAGGAAGATTGGCCGAAAGAGAAAATATTATAAGAGGAAAGCATAAAAAGCAAGCTGCTACTTATGCAGAAAAAGTTCAACAAAGATCAAGATCACGATCTAGAACAAAAAGTTTTAAGAAACAAGAAGTAGAATTTGTGACTCTAATATATCCTAAAGAAAGGAATCAAACTTCTGAACAAGTAAAGGAGAAATTAATTAAAAACATTTCTCCAACTGATCTTAAAATAGGTGTGCAGAGAGTACAAAAAATAAAAAATGGTGGAGTATTGATTAAGGTCACTAAATACGACGATTTATCAATAATTGAAAATGCAATAAGAGAAAATAGTATATTGAAAGAAGAATTGGATGTAAAAAGACCTAAGAAAATATATCCACGAATTATGATTTATAATGTTGATCCTGCCTTGAATGGAGAGGAAATAAAGGATTTACTGAAATCTCAGAATGTCGTTCTAGAGAATGCGATTATAGAACCGAGATTCAATATGAAATCAAATATGGGATGTCATTGGATCGTTTCCTTGGACACACAATCATTTAATCGGTCATGAACAAGAAAAAATTTAATTGGTTATGAAAGACAAGAAAATTTATTTAAAATGGACAAGGCACCAGATTAGAGAATATAAAAGAGTTACCAGATGCTTCCAATGTTATGGTTTTGGACACACTAAAAAAGCTTGTACAAAAACCTCTATTTGTAATAAATGCAGTTTAGAAGGTCACTCTCAAACTGAATGTACCGCAACAGATTATAAATGTTATAATTGTACAATAGCAAATTCGAGATTTGGACTGGGCCTTAATACTAAACATGAAAATACATTTAAAGAATGTCCTTGTTATATTAGACAAGTTGATTTATTGACCAAAAAAATTGATTATGGCTTGTAAATCTCATACAATTAAAATTTGTCAAATCAATTTACATCATGCAATCAAGGCCACAGAACAATTGAGAGTTGAGGTTACAGAAAGTGATACTGATCTGATCTGCATACAAGAACCTTATGTTTATCAAGGAAAGATATATGGTTTACCAATAAGTGCCAGAGCATATTATAATAAAGGTGAGAACATAAGATCTGGTGTCTTTGTATTCAATGAAAATTTATCCATTTTACAAATTTATGCTTCTAAAGACATAGTTGCTGTTTTGGTGGATGGAAAAAGTCCTTTTCTCTTGATTACATGCTATTTTTCCCCATCAGAACTATTGATGATCATTTACGTTGTTTGTCTTCTTTGTTTGATAGATTTAAAAATATCTCATTAGTAATAAATGGTGATGTCAATTGTAAACATCCATTGTGGGGCCAAAACTACATGGATTCAAGGGGAAAAAATTAGCAGAATTTCTACTTGAAAATAACTTTGTTGTAAACAACAATAGAAACAGTTTTCTCACATACTCTTCAGTATTAGGAAATTCATGGATTGATATTACTGCTTCCAGATTGATTAAAGACATTGAGATATGTAATTGGCAAGTTTCTGATAAAATAAGCCTTAGTGATCATAATTATATTCATTTTGAGATTAGAAATGTAATAATTGATGATACACAAAATAACCAAATTAAGTTGAAGAGATTGAACTGGATTGCTTTAAAGGAGCTTATGTTTGAAATTTTTCAGGCATTGAAATCAATGAAGATATAGAATCTCAATTACATGAAATTAATTCAATCATATGTGACATATGTGAAAATTTTCGGTTTAATTATAACGATACAGGAAAAAAGAAAAACTATTCTCCATGGTGGAATAATGGATTAAATACTGAAAGGAAAAAAGTTCGAGTTTCTAGAAGAAGATTTCAGAACTCTTGTGGCGAAGATAGATTAAATTATAAAAAAATTTATTGTAAACATCTTGCAATATATAGAAAGAACATTAGAATTGCAAAGGAAAATCACTGGATTAAAATATGGGATAAATTGTCTCTGCAAAGTCCCTTTGGTACGCATTTTAAAATTGCCACAGATAAGCAGATGAATCCTGTCACTTTTACTGCTATCCGTAAAAGTAATGGTACTTACACAGAAAATATAGAAGATACAATAAAAGAAATTATGAACTTCCACTTTATGGAAGATAAAGAAGAGGAGGATGAAAGTGAACATCGGGATATCCGAAGGAAAATAAAAGTTGATTTGGAGTCTTTTAATGATGTTTTGTTTACTGGCGATGAGCTTTCTGCTGCTCTGGAGAGTATGAAAATGAATAAATCTCCCGGTCATGATAACATTCCTTTGGAAATTTATAAAGAACTTTATTATGTAAATAGGAAATTCATTTTGGATCTATTTAATATTTGTTTTCAACAGGGACATTTTCCTGAGACATGGAAGATTGGCAAATTGGTTTTGCTTTTAAAACAAGATAAACCTCCTGAGCAAGCGGCTTCTTACAGGCCGATTTGTTTATTACCCACTTTGGGTAAAGTTCTCGATAAATTGATTAACAATAGGCTTGTTTATTTTCTTGGTAGCAATAATCTGCTAAATGCAAATCAGTATGGATTTACGCCAGGAAAAGATACTATCTTGGCAATTAATAATATTATTGACACTATAAGAATTAATAAGATAAAGAATTTACATATTACTTTGATTGCAATCGACATTAGCAATGCCTTTAATAGCTTATGGTGGCCCAGCATCAAATCAAGACTTCTAGATTTAAAATGTCCTCAAAACCTCTTCAATATTATTAATAGTTATCTAAATAATAGGAAAATTATTTACAGAAGAAATAATATAAATATTGAGAAATATTATAATAAAGGTGCTCCTCAGGGTTCTGTTTTAGGCCCTACACTTTGGAATCTGGTGGCTGATACTGCCTTACAATTGAAATTTGAAAAGGATGTATTTTTGCAGGTTTATGCTGACGATTTTGTGTTGGTGATTTCTGGAAGTAATAGATTAATTTATAGAAGAAAAAGCAAAGAATGCTCTAGATAAACTTTATAACTGGTGTAAAGTAAATAAGCTGGATATTAGCCAAGCTAAAATGGCTATGATAACAATTCCAAAAGGCTCAAAATTAATC